CAAGATGCATTTTTGTATCTCTTATATCTTCAGTCTTTAGTAATAAGTATAGTAGGTTGGTGGACCTGTGTTACAGTTTGTTTTCCAGTGAAGGTCCAGTTTCTCCTTGGAAATGTATATTGATGGAACTGATACCACTTGTTTGGGTAAAGCGTTCCAATCACTGACCACTCGGTGAGAAAAATAGAATCCTACTCTGAGTTTATTAGATCGTGGTTTATGAATCTTCTTGCAATGGTCTCGAAGAATATTAGTGCTGGTCAGAGCAGAAAGATGAAACTTATTAACGCCTAAATCGTAACTAAAGATACGCAATGCCAATATGAGGTCACCTCGCGTTCTACGATACGATAAGGGGAAAAGGCTTAGGCGTTTTAAGCGCTCATTGTAAGGGAGTTTAGAAAGATACTTCACTAATTCTGTTCCTACAAACTGAACACACTCAAGCGAGTAAATATCCTCAACAAGACCTGGACCGGCTGCTTGGATAAAGTAATCTAAGTGTGGTCTTACGTAGATGGTATAAAAAACTTGGAACCCCTCCTCGTCAAAGCCTTTGTATACTCGGTGAAGTAACTATAACGCACGAAAACCTTTGGCACCAGCTGCAATGCAATGCGTTGTTGTTCTCAAGTCGTGATTCACTGTGGCCTCCAAGTCTATATGTTCCTGCACTCATGGAAAAGATGTACAGTCGATAGTATACTGGTAACTTTCACTGTGTCTAATACGCATGAGCACAATTTTTCTAGAATTAATTTCCAACCTCCTAACTTTGAACCGTCTAACTAACTCGTAAGGGTCAGCTTGGAGATCAAAATGACCAGCCTCGCTGCCTATTGTTCTCCGGCTTTTGACATCCTCCACAAAAATAATGTTGACGACTTAAACAATGGCGATAATTCATTGACGTAGAGAAGGAGAAGTAGGAGACCTAAGATGGTGTCTTTGGGTACGCCACTTTTGAAGTCACCTAGACTTAAATATTTATTGACTTTACGACCCAGAGTAAACATTATTTACCAACTTCATATTTTCATCGTTGAAATCAAGGATTGGTCTTGGTTAGATCATCATTAGAAACCTGGTACTTCTGGATTGTCATTTCGTCATCGGCAATGCACATTCCCGACCTTGGAAGTGGTAATCCAACTCATGACCTTCAGTCTCATGAGAGAATACTCAATTTCTAAACCACTTGGCCGGCAACCAACGGTATTATTGTCTAACATTGGTCAATTAATAATCTTGCGCAACCCATCATTCATTGCCTGCGGTGGGCAAATTTGTCATACCGAACAATAAATGGTCACGGCTTCTCAATAGAACTCCAGAATTTATGTCTTGAAGCTAGTCACTAGCGAGCACATGATTGTTATTAGTCTAGAGGAATTTTGAAGACTATGCTATCTTTTATGAGTCCGACTTCCGTGGCGGGGGTCGTAGATTCTCATTAATTTGGAGTCTGATACTAGGACGAAATCGCCGACCAGTGCTTCCAGATTTTGAATAGTAGTCTAGCTTAGATCAGTTCGTGATTTCGAAGGTGGAAATACTATTATCACCTTGAATCCCTATATTAATAACTCGATGTTTGTCAAAGTTTTGTTTAAATACCGAATAGTTTAAAACAAGTGGACCTTAACAGAAATCTCCCATAGATTGTGATGATTCACATAGACTTACATTGTAAATTATTTTTAACATTATTCATGGTTTTTGCAGTTTATTCAATCACTGATTTCGATAAAATTGTTTAGTTTTGAACTTTTCCGACACAGATTGCATGGCCCATAGATTACCATTCACAAAATACATAAGTGCTCATACTACTCTTCGTTCTCATTCGGCCAAATACTATATTATCAGATCAATTATATAATTTCATACTGATTTCTATACTAAATAATAATATAACTGTCATGTACATTTAAAGATAAAGTCTTTCCCTAAATACTAGATTTTATATAGTAGAAAACTTTGGATTATTTGTTACGTTTTGTAATTACTAATTACACGTTATAATTGTGGCCCTGGTGATCGATCAGTCGAGCTAACAAGAGACGGCTGAATTTCACTTGCGTATTTATATCCTTAACTGATTCTAAACGTTATTACTTAAAGCCCTCAAATGCCCTGGTACGGCCGAGAGTGGGGAGAGTCCGCTCCCCTCTCGAAATGCTCTCACATGGCCACGCGTATATAGCCTCTGCCAGGGAATTCCTACTCACTGCCTTCTCGTGGCATTACTGTTGTTTACGAAAATAAGAGAACGAAAGGCGCTGTAGCCGGATTCCAAACTAATGGTGCACATGGGCTCCAGTATCCTGTGGGAACAAATGACGTATGAACCAATTGTTGGTCACCGGCTACCATGGGACTGCATCTCCTTACGATGCTCCACTGCCTTGTGGATCAGGCATTCAGGTCGAAGGCTCGGGGAATGGCGCTTTAAGAAAACCACCTGCTTCGGTTTGGACACCCGGGCAGTATCACACCCCTCATACATATCAAATGAAATTTGTGTGGCGCATATGTATTTGGTGCCTCCTTGTACCAATATCTACGTGTTAAAATAATAATAATAGCACTATATATTTGTATAACAAACGCTAAATACAGTAATGTGTTGTTATTACTTAATAACTTTGTTACTATTTTGGTAGTTACATTTGCAATCTGCTACAATATTTATAAAGTCATTGCCTTATTTGTGAACACTAAATAATAAATACGAATTCATTTTCTATAACTTCTGTTCTTCATGGTTTGATAAGTGCATTTGACTGAAGGAAAATGATGTTTAAACTTGTGTATTATTGATTATTTCTAGGCGACGCATAAAACGATATAAAGAGAACAGAAATAATCAAAATAATATGACCTTAAATACATATATGATTTTCATTTGTCTAAATTATTCATATCAGATCATTTATGTAGGCGAAGTGATCAATTCGGAAATAAACAGTTGAAAAATAACTCAATTCAGATGTCCTTTAACTGGAACAGTAATAACGTTCTTGTTGGAGTATAGTACACATGAACGTGAAAACTGTTCACAAATTAAAAAAACAATTTTCTGCTGTTATTCGAAATGCAAAAGTCACCATGGCATCTGATTCATAGCCTTCTGCACGCTGTTTTGTACTATTTACGCAGTTTATAAGTTTTATAACGAAATTCCAATCCATTTCTGAATAAGGTTTACGTGAAAGTAAACTCATTAAGAATCTAAGCATGATGAATGAATGTTATGTATATGTCAGGAGGATACGATTCAAAGGAACCAACATCTGTCATTTATCATATAATTCTTAAAATTACTTACTCATCTTAATTCTTTCACCACGGTACTATCAGTTATTGTATAATAATTTCAGTTTTATAGCTAATTTTCCTCAATTCGATTGTGACGGTTCTAAGAAACAAACGATCTCAATCTCTAGAGTTTACTTCAATAATTATATTGAGTATTTCTCAGTCAATCAGTCACCTACAACGTAGGACCAGGCACATATATGCATCGGTCCAAGTTGCCACACCACATTAGAACAAGACGAGTACCAAATTCAAAAGATAGTCGCTACAATGGTAGTGAAAAAGATTTCATATAGGGATATGATACAGGGAGAAACAATTAGTTTGTGGAAATAATTTTATTCTCACGGTTTAAAGGAAGACAAAGAGTGTATACACCTACATCGCTGTGGCCGATTCTGAGCCATGTCACACAGTCTGCAACCATTAGTTACGATAGACGCGCGAACCCCAACCAAGTAGTCTGTATCTACCAACATGGCCCAGGCCAAACGCTAGTGACTCTATGGACTGAAGCTTTGCCGGACAGCACTTGAGGTTGCGAAATCAGATGACAGTTCACCATAAGCTATGAATCGACTGGTAGTGTTCGAGTAAAGAGCCTTCACTAAGTTTATGTACTTCTGAAGTAAGCCTTTCAATGATAGACACTGCCACAGAACCTCTCGGTCTACCGAATCAAATGCTCCTTTTGAGTGAAAATGACCATCATTTTCGAACGCTGATAAGCGCGCTTGTGTTCTAAAATCTGAAGAATGGTGAATTGTGGTCCATGTAGCCACGACCAGGTCTGAAGCGGGAATTAGAAAAAGACACTGGTGGTCGGTAAGATATACATTGAAGAAATCACCAAACTGCATCACGAGGCAAATGCTCACTCGTAATCCTGAAGGAGAAAGGAAAAGTTGAAGACGAAGGAACATATTTTGCATGGAATTGTAAACAGATATTAAAAGGATGAATAGCAAGTCGGAAAGGAGAGCAGAAGACAGAGTTGTTTGGAGAATCATGGTCGGCAACCTATCCTCCTACATTAGTGGTAGAAGACGCAAGTGAGGTGAAGTAAAAATGATAGCATAAGATAATGAATCAAAAAACATTTTATCAACTAAACATATATATTTGTACATTCGGTGTCATTTAGGCTTCAAAAATAATCAGTGCCTGGATCGATTTCGTTCCATGCTTAGAGAGCTAATTTATTTTAGTCTTATAGTTGGAATTTCCCCACAGAGAAATGACTATATCAGTTCCAAAATATTGGATTACTGATTGAATAGCAAAGGTTTTATTTTTAATTTGCATATACATTGAATTCGCAATCATAATGCTAAATTAGGTGTATGTGTCTATTCGTGAAAAAAAATCGATTATTGCTTACATAAAACACTTGTTCATCATGAGCTTCATAAAAAAGTCAAAGAATACAAGCAGTCGAAAGTCACTTTTTAGCTTTTTATTTATAGAAGAGGACGAATATGAGAAAGAAACATAAAAGTATTTTAGATCATTAAATAATCTTTTTTTTATTTTAAAGATTGTCGAAAAATAAATCAATAAATGGGATACTTATAATAAATACACGTTTTGTGTAGTACAAAAACACAGACATAAGAAACATTTCTTAAACAAAGATATGGAGAATATAACAAAAATCAAATGTTCATAGGAAAATCTTTTTAAGGCTGTGCAGAAGGTTGTCCAGGTAGATATTGTCCCTGAAGACCACCACCAGCAAGGGGAGCATGTGCGTCAGTATTGCCTCCACCAACACTAGGAAAAGCACCATTACCACCCATTGAATGAGCAGGAAGCATCATGTTAGGGGGAGAAAATGCTGCATTTGGAGGCATTGGCATTGTAGGATAAGCGCCATAGAATGGATACATTGCTGGATAAGGAGCCATTCCTAAATGTAATAGGACAAAAAATTAAAGTTCAAGCAACCACTTGATTGAACCACATGATAACAAAAACCTATAAATAAAACCTATCACATAGCTCAATTGACTTTACTTGTTCCTTGTGTGTACATTAAAAATAAAATTTATCTTCCAATCAAAATGGAAGACTATGTCTAAATGTGTAGAAATATTCAACGTTATCACAATGATCGTTGTTTCGAAATCTATTGAAAAAGAATGCACCAGATTTTACCTATGAAAATCTATTTCAAAAAATGAACGTTCCAAATAATTAATCAAATAATTCTTCTCCAGACGAATTCAATGAAGTTCGAGATTGCTACAGTACTCGATCATATAAATTAAGCAGAAAGTAATTTTCCTTATCTGTTCAAAAAGACATTCGATTACAAACTATTTTCCTAATTGACTTTTAATAACCGAAAAGGAAAATACACTCTTTTTCACTCGATTAATTTGAACACTAATTATTGATTGTGGCAACCATCTAATTTGCAACTGATCACAACCTATGTGTTGGAATAGAGGTCTTAAGACGACAACCCTAATTAGTTATATTCTACCTTGAACAATAAATAATCGATTTGGCAAACGTTTGGAAATCATTTGAAATGAACTTGTAGGTGTGTAATTAACAGTTATTTCAATGACAAAAAAATGGAATTTAACGAAACTCAGGAATCAGTTATCCTAGTGATTTCCATAATATTTAGTTCAAGCTATCAAATATGCATTAATTGGCATAGTCTAAAGATTTAGTCAATATGACTTGGAACGAAGAAAGTAATTTCATAATTTCAACCCACAACAGGCCGAACTAGGTAGTTTCATACAAATCAGCTTTAAGAGATTATTCTGTGACACAACGCAAATCAATTTACATCCAATTTTAATTATGTAGTTATTAGTAATGAAAACCGATTATGAAAGTTCACTACAGTTTTAATCTTAATTTTCCAAACGTTATGTAATTAACTGATTATTACTTTGTTAAACTGACTCACAACAATCCAACTGGCATCGACTTTCTACTCACTTATAAAACATATATAATTAGTGTAGAGCTTTGATGGAGAATTAATTGAAAGAAATATTTCTTTTCTAAACGTATTTTTTTTTAGTGTCTTAATAGGAAAATTTAGTGAAATGAAATAACCAAGTATAATAGTGATGACTTAAAACTAGGAATACATAAAATGTAGGATGAATAAATCAGTAGTAACAATCAGTAATGCATACACAAGAAAAGGGAAAGGTATAAAGTATGTTAACAGCTTTTTCTTAATAACACGGAATAGCTGGTACTGTGATAAAACGAAACGCAAATAAAACCATTAATAAAAAACGAATTTTTTCAAAAGATAAGAACACCATGTTATTTTCACTGAGATGAATCTACTAAACATTGATTAAGTTTACTGAAATTATAATACCTGTATATTTAATGTTGGTTTAATTTTCAAAGCTGATAGTCTGTCATGGTCTAAGTTATGTGTCAGATTTATTCTAGTGATGTAAGAAATAATAGCATTTATCCTGTTAAATGATTAATAATACAATGCACCTGGATCAACGTATTGAAAGGAATGACCAATGATCTTGCAATATGTTAGTATAAACAAACAGTATAAGATATAAATAATTTATGTAAAAAAAGTGTATCACAGTTATTATCAATGATTTAGTCATTATCTTGGAACAAAATTTCAAATAGGGAAAACGATAAACTTTAAGCCATACTGGAATTATGGTATCGTCTAACTGAACGCTTGATTCCGTATTCTAAGCTCTTCTAATAACACCGGGCTAAATCTACACGGTAACTTGAACATGAGAGAAAGGCGCGAAGTGTTAGAAGAACGCTTTACTCCAAAGTACCTCTATGTATGGAAAATCAAGAGTATTTATAGTGATTCAGATGGTCATAGAAGATTCTAGAATCACACTAAATAAAGTAACTGAATAGGTATATATCCAGTCAGAAATGTGACAACTGATTTTTCGCTTTCTACTTAGCGCTGGTTAGATAAAATGTTTCTCAACGTTTTCAGGACATTTCTGGACTTTTTTGAGGAATAATTCGGATCTCCCCAACACGTTTCTTTGTATCCACTTGCCATATCAAATTATATAAAACTATCAGCAATCCTTTTATTTTAATCTTCACCTACACAATAAAACTAACTTGTATTTTATTTAAATCGTTTATATTGTACAGAACTATGAATAAAAATTACGACAACTTCATCAACACACAGGCACACACAAACATACCAGTATTTTATACAATTTTACCCATTAATAAATTTGACTAAAGTAAGAACAGAAAGGATAACAGAATAAAACTGAATGATTGACTTAATCGAAGTAATCACAACTAAAAAGTTGAAATTAAATTAATGCATTTAAAAATAGACACAGTTTTAAATCTCTCATTATCCTAGTAAGTTCTATTTTTTATTATTCAATAACATAGTATCTCATTTCATATTCTTAATAACAAATTCATTCTTGAGTCAACCTTTGAGCTTTACTCATCTTATTCTGTAAATCTATTCAACTTTATGGTTGTTATTACGTAACGCTGCAGCATCGATTTCCATTCACTAGAAACATTTCTAAAATCTTCACATTCAGTAACAAATAAATGCTCAGTCACTTTACAAACTTTTTCATAATTATTGTCATTATTCTACTAAACCTTAATAACATGATGTAAAGGTGGTTATAAATGATGATTACTATTGTTTCTAGGTTGTAAGTAGCTAACAAGAATTCAAAAAAATTAATGATTTCATCTTATTCCGATACACTTCTTATTTTTACTTTAGTCAAACACAAATATGATTTTTTTTTCAGTAACAAAAAAGCACACTAAACAACATACCACAGAAAAAACTTCCATTCCACATTCTGTTGAAAACAATATACATCAAATTTTTAATGCTTACCATATGGTGAAGGTTGAGGAATCACAGGATCTAGAAACAAAATTAAATAATGGACCATGTATACATGAATTTATTCACTAAGCAGATAACTACAATTGCAGGTATATTATGACTAAAGAAAAAAGGCATTAATTAAACATTGAGTAATAGAAAAACCACAATGCACTGTATTCAACTGTTTATACTTTTATTTCACTAACAGCTAATATCAGTAAACAATGAAATGAACGCGGACATAGTTACAGCATTATGTAATTAAATTTCCAAATGTTCTATTAGACAAAAATCTATACAGAATAGCTTAAAATAGATTTTCGACCAGTCACTTTGAAAATTTTATACTACGTGCATAACTTAAATTCATCTACCCACCTCCTCCTAGAAGAATGTAGATTTAATAGCCAATTCTCAAGGCCAAACCTAACTAATCTATGATTAACTAGTCACAGTCTATCATAACATTAGAGGGAACAAAGGTCTATATACTCATCAGTCTTTTAATCTTGAGGGATATAATTCAGGGAAGTGTGAATCTCATTTATGGTCACTACTGTGACAGAAGGAACTAAGCTTTATGATATTTAGTGGTTAATGTATAAGATATATCTTAAAATATTAGCTATGACAACAGCCTGATATCAGTTGTTACAGTAAATGGTAGAATCTAAAATAAACAATCTTAAAACAAATTGAGAGATAAATCATAACATACAGCCTTGAGGATTCCATGCTTGTGGAGGCATCGGATATGTGGTATTATTCATCATGGGAATTGTTGGTGTTGGCATTGGAACTTGAGGATGAGCGGGAGGAACAGGGTTGACACGGTTAGCATAAGATGGTTCAGGTCGAGTAGGGACTGAATAAAAACAACAGAAAATAAAATAGTGTTAGCTAATTTCAAATAAAATGATCAGGTATTGTATAAGATTCGTTAGTTTATCCTTCATCAATTACCTACAGTTCATAATGATTTTACATTAAATTATATGAAGCTTTAATAAGAAGTCAATAGGTAAATAAGATACACAGGTAGATTGAAAATCATGCAAGTAAATTAAATGAGTTTAGTGAAATTTAATAAATCTAATTGTCTTATTTTTTTGTTTCTTTCGGAAGTCTATTCTCTGTGCTTAGTGTTACTTATCACAGATACTATAATTATTTCAAATTTTACGACGGTTATCTAGTTAATTTCAACTCACTACGTTGATATGGTGTAGGAACTTGGTTTGACACACATTAGTGATATGCTTTTACGTCAGTTATGATTCACTAATTTTGCTCTAATTACTAGTTTTCAGTTATCCTAAAAAGTAATACGAAAAAGAACACTGAAGAATTTCAAATAGATTAACTTATTCACCAAAAGGTTTTTAGAAATACAAGAAAAAAACGGAACTCAAACGTTAACGTAATCAAGATAGAAACAAACAAACAGGCAGCGACAAAAGTCTAAGAAAGAATTTCCAACTTACCAGATGGTTTCGGAAAGACTTGTTGGTCTGAAACACGAACCCGGCTTATATTTGTTGTAATATCAGACATTAATTCATTTTTCTCAGTAGTACGTGCAGCGCAGAAATCTTCAATCTTTCAAATGCGAAAATGATGAAGGAAATATACAAACAACAGTAAGAAATGAGCACAGTTGTTCAAAATCTAAATTAAAATTGTGACTGCATTTTTAATACCAGTTAGACATATCGGCAACTCAATCATCATACATTACTTAGTTACCAGAAATAAATTTTGTTTGAATTTTTAGTCAATGACTTTTGTTGTTAGAATGTCGTCCGATTTATTGCTGTCGAAACCATGAAATAATACATCTATCATTGACGTAATATAAGTGTAGTTCAGAAACGAATCAGTACTTACTTCACTAGTCTTTTACATCTGTATAGTTTTCTCTTGACAAGCAGAGTACCAAAAAAAAACTATAAAACTTAGGTTAATATAAGATAGCAAATTAGTATAATGAAATTTTCTGTATGAATCCATATCGTTTGATACTACAAATACTTAATTGTAGATAATTAACAGCTAAATTCATTGAATTCTGGGACTTGTCTAGAGGACCAAAGGTCCTGAACTGGAATCCCGTGTGCGGGATCGTGGATGCGCACCGCTGAGGAGTCCAATACTAGGATGAAACGGCTGTCTAATGCTTCCATTTTCAAAGCTGTACAATCGCAAATATATATATACTTATTTTTTCAGGATGATAATAATTACAATAATAAGGGTAATAAACTTCTGTTAGACATAGTGACAATGAGATAGAATAAACAAAGGTATTAAAAAAATTTAAACAGGGAAACTAATAATCGTTTGATTGTTAGTGGCTTAAGTATCGATCAAAAGATAGGAAAATTATCATTGGGGAAAGATGGCTCAGCATGATTAGATAAAATGTTGAAATTGAGATTAAATGTAATCAGGAAGACCGTAGAAGCAGAAATAAACCAGTTGGGGGTAGAAGATTTAAGAAGATGGCTATGAAGAAAAAAAATTACAAGACATTAAGAGCATGGTAGAAGAAGAGGTTGTATCAATCTCTTTTGAAATATCTAAAGGCTAAATATCTAAGCCTTACCTTAACGATATATGAATCTAAATCCAACTTACGGATACACTTAAGACCTAGATTTAGGAAACGATAATTAAGGCTTTTAAGTACCTGTCATAATTAACATCACATCACATCAAATAAACTTTAGTAGTTAAATAAACACATTCAATTATTCAACACCATTTAACTGATCGTGTTGAATGAAACTCTTAAGTAAATTGTACTAAAATGATAATGACCGAACAATAAGTTCCAACTTCCAAACATAACAAACACAACATCACCATAACAAATCAGAATTCGAAGATGATAGCACAAAAGGTGTCAGTAAATATAGATAAAGCCAAATAATGTATAATTTACTTTAACACCATGACTTATTTATTGAAGGTTACAATGAAACTATATGAAGTAATGGAGAGTACAGAATCAGTTGTATATATTCCCATTAAAGATTCCAAAAGAGTAACTCTTAATCATTACAAATATGAAATATAAAACTGTAAGATATTTGTTTCACATCAACTTACCTTACACTGGGTATTCACACAAATCTCAGTAAGCTCAGCGTAAAATTTCGTGGCATCACTAACAGCTTCCTTAAGTGCAGAATACTCATCTGCAGCCAGATTAAGCATTGTCAATAGTCCTTTGTCTTTTGAATTACCATCGGACCCACCGTAAAACATATCAGCTTTGGTTTGTAAGTCATTTAATAAACTTTCTTGTTTATTTAGATTTTCTTGAATAAGTTCACGCACAGACACCATTTTTTCATCAAGCATATCAGTAGCAATTTGTAAATCAACTGTTTCATTATGTTCTCTATAGTACGTCAATAGCTTTTTAACTGTCGGAAAATACAAATGCATATTAAGTATCCATACAAGAGAAACCTATTCCAAATTAATGACTTGATTGATGAAAGTTATTCACACTAACGGAAAGTGATACTGTGGGATAATGGGTTTTAGCATTAGACTTAACACGTGCAACGAATTTTTGGATACGCAAATATTTTCACTTGAGATATGAACTGGGTCAGTATCTACGATGAGTAACAGTGCATCACCTGTGTAATAAATACAATTCTGCGTTGGAAATCATTCATTGGGTTGTGTCAATTTCTCAGTCTTGTGTGTAGCTTCCCATCTATCGATCAAGACTTCATTCGTAAACTTAACAAACGAAATGGTTTTGTTTTGACTCGAGAAGCCCTTCTTCACAACACTAATAAGCGTGCAACGCCAATATGCACAAATGACTTGGTAAACTAAATAATAAGTTCCCACGTTTTGTAGACAACTCATTTCCGACTTTCTGATTTGATCTGATGAGCAGATAATCGTTAAACTTTTTTTTATTGACTAATAAACTATTTAATTCTTCTAATGCTTTTGGCCTAAAAGAATGAATTAAAACCCTGTTAACAGAAACTGTCTATCATCCAGTAAGAGTGACAATAAAAACAACTTCGAACTATCAAACTACTATTTTAGATTGAATTAATAGATAGTTATGATGAAAGTTTTATGTGAGTGACTAAAAGAAACTAATTTGAAGAAAAATATTTTCCTGACTACTAAAATAATATAATGAAATTGCACACACATGCAAACACAAACGCACAAATGTGTATATAGTCCAGCGACTAAAAGAAAATGTGTTCATTTTAAGTAAACAAAACGCAAAATAATGATTATTCTAGCTAACTGTAATGAAAGCAAATATTTGCTTTCAGTTAATGCCAAAAAAGATGAGGAACAGAAAAAAACCAACCTAGTGTTATTCGGTTTCATTGCAGAACAAGGCTAATACTATATGTTTATATTTTATAATTTATATTTTCTAAACCCAGTAAATTAACAAAATTCATTGATCGACAGCGTTTTAACGACGAAATGCTAATTTTCTCGAAATACTGAAATTAAACGCGAACTATGTGAACAAAGTTCGTCTAACGCTAGTTATCTTCAATTACACAAACCAAAAATTATCTAAGTGAAACGAATTAATGGAATTTTTTCCTGTTCAAACAGCTTCAAACTTGAGCCAATGATATAAGCCTTCATCATAAATTGAAAACTTTCAGGAAAATTGGAAATTTTTGAATTATTTGTTTTTATTGTATGGCTAATAGGTAACTGCATAATTGTGTTTCAATATTCCCCTCACTTGAGGCTTCCAGTAAACCTTCTGTTTGTTTCACTCTTTACCACTGGTGGCACAATTGTATTTAAAGTATGATTTCCTATTTGGTGTGCTATGCGATCTGATAATTCGCGTATACAAGTTAGTGAGTGTTTGAGATAGCCCTTGGCTGTACTGTGCTGACTGGATAGGCTGGGTGATTGAAACAATAATAAAATAAGCTTAGCTACCGACTTATCTCCAGACTCAAGGCTGATAGGGAAAGGCTTGTGGATAAATAGATTAATAGGAGTGTAACTTACGTTGCCTCAAGGTCAGAAAGTAAGATTGGTCAAGTCTAGGACATTAGACTACAGACAAAATAGTAGGAGCAAGATAGAAAGTTAGAATCGGGATTCTGATTGGTTAATCTAGCAGGTGCATTCGATTAGCGTCACATAACTGTAAAGATCTTAGAAACGATACTGGATACGCAAGAAAGTGACAAAGATTTTTGAAGACGTGAATTTGTATTTCAACTTTACACTACATATCGCCATTTTATAATAAAACTACATAATTTTCAGCCATCTTACCCGAAGCCTTGACTCACATATTACATACATTTCGTGCACCCAACAACCAGGACGTCTGAATACCAAGGATTCAAGTTTAACAATCAATATCTATACAAACGGATGCCATATTATATTTCGATCATTTATAGCTTACTTTCCACTTATTTAACCACATGAGTCCATGAAAGTTCGTGGCCTCATCAACCGATTTATAATTCCAATCTAGTACTCAATAGATCCATCAAAAGCGCATAAGGACTCAAAGATTTCCGTGATCAAATGAACACAAGTTGCATGTGGATCTTCACCTTTGAAGGGAATGTTTCGCACGTATAAACCAATACAAAACGAAATGATTCCTAGTTCGCTCACTACACGTAGTGTAGGTTGGTCAATATTAAGCGATATTTTGCTAATTAACGACTTATCTGGGATAAATAGACTCTCAAGATAAATAAACAGCTTAGACCATTCGAATGAACACGGCGATTTACTAGTTTGAGACCTAAGTTAGTAAGCTTAGTAGCCGCATCATAATTCTACACTTTAAAAAATTGTCAAAATATAATTGAGAAATAAAAGATTACCATGATAAATTGAATCGAGAAATCTTACCTAGATCCGGTGAATAATCAACTAATTTCAACTGTTCTATTAGATCATTTCTTTCCGTCTTAATTAATTCTAGTTTGTTGCATAACTGAGTTAGTTCAGATCTTAGTTCTTCATTATTGGCTTCAGTATCAGATTCGGCAAATTTTGCATCTGATCCAATAAGCGTTTCAAGTTCATCTTCTGGTTTACTTAATATTTCAAAATGTTCTTTATGCTTTTCATATCGTTCTAAAAGAGATGCATCAGTTTTCGTAGTCTAGATCAAATAAAAGAATCAAAAGAGCATATTTAAGTTTTGAAATAAAAATTTTAAACAAATAAAAAAATCTCATTTTTATAAATTATACAACAATATAAGATTTTTAAGGTAATACAATGTTTGATACAATGAATTATGCAGTGATTCAAATGTTAAGTCGGGAAAACTTATCTAAAATCTAATCTATAAAAAGAAATAAAGATGTACATTCTTATGTAAAAGTCCACATACTTTATAGTTTGTTTAGCCCAGAGAGGGATGTGATCTGAAAAAGTTATGAAATGTTCAAGGTTGAAAGAGTCTAATATTGTTTCCGAACTACTACAATTGAACTCGAGCACCATTATCTGAGGGTACCCAAACCATTGATTTCTAACACAGATCGTTTTGGAGCTTGAACCACCAGCCAATGACTGCAAGAATTAATGACCTATATGATGCCAAACAACACAAATAATTTTTGTTCAATCCTATTTTAGTTGGCTCTAGGAGTTCTGTCATGGAGTACAGCTTAATATGCCTCAACTTGATTGGAGTCAAAACGTCCGACATCTAATAATCGAGGCAGACAAATCATGAGAAGTTATTTAATACTTGGAAGGTGTATGCTAAAGATCTATGCACGTTCGAGGATTCAGAAAGAACAAACAAAGAATCGAGGTAAAAGGCTTTATTCGTGGAATCCGATCGTAGCTCTTGACATGATTTGGTGGTTGAGCTTACCTATCGCAATAACCCAATCGAGCTATATTGCTCAGTATATTCATTCCCTTATATCCCACACTGCTAGGCAGGTTGGTTGGTGAACGGTGGGACTAAAGGCAGTAACTCAAGGTATGAGGGCGAAATCTAACCGCTGATTGTACTGGTATGTATGGCAGCAGTTAGGTGTTTCCCTGAGATGCTATCTTTTCACAACAGGAGGAATGGATTAGAAAACATCGGCCCTAAAAAAACACTACACTTTATCCCATCAATTTCCGTTTTCGGAGACAAGACCTCTAAAATATAGAGCTAACTCATCTACAACTACTTGAAAGCAGGCCGAGTACGCAACTTTTCTCATGCAGTTTTCCCTTTGAATCTGTGGTCACGCTACATGGTCACTATGGCCACTCACTAATTCAGCTTCATCTTCAAGTAACTCCCAGAGAATTGTCGTTCGACAGTGCGGGTAACATGGAAGTGACAACTGACATCATACCTCTAACAGCACTCTAGATCCACTCGTTCACAACCAAATTCCTTCACCACTTCTAAATATCCTTCTGTCCCCATCATCGATCCGTCGCCTATGTGTTTCATTACCCTAAGCGCAGTTAATGCTAACGATTCAATTTCACGAAACGTCATTCTTGGTATCCTGAAAACTCTGTCTAACCTATATGTCGGCGATTTCGCGGTTCTAACTTTATGTAAAGATGGACAACAGGTTTCCTTATCTAGGAACTTCAGAGTCTCATTCCACCGATACACGCTACGTCTACGTAACAAGCACAAGGGATTTAAATGCGATCATTTACTTGACCTTACCTGGTCAATATAGAAAACCAGAGCGATTTATTTTTCATGTATCTGGGGTCTTGACTGATAATTTTCGCTGGAGTACACAAGTATTAGGCGCAAAAGCGGATCATGTGCTCCTAAAGTGGATTTTAACACAGTTGCTTGAGTCATACAACACACACTGTGTGCCTCCGTTTCCACTAATTGCAGTTCGGATGAAGTAAAGAACGAACTTTGTAGACAAACTATCATACGTCGTAATCATAGTAGGAAATTTCACCTCTTAATGCGGAAGTCCAAACTAAAGTGAAAGACATATAGATAGGTTCACAGTATCTTAGTTCAATGAACAAATAACAGAGACCGTCTGCAGACACTATGCTTAAACAACCGTTTCTACTTAGCAAGCACCAACCTTAAGGATAAAGAGATGCATCTCTAACATAATGACCCTAAAATTGACTCAACAAATCGACGCAAATAAACCATATTACCAGCAGCCATCATCGAGGAGGATCAATAGGAAACTATATGTAGTTAGACTCTGATCATCCTCCAGTGAGAGTGAGCGTTTATCTGCTGTTTACTGGACGCCGAAAAGCCCAGGTAAGAAGTCCCTTTAGAGCCCGGCTTAATAATGAAACAGTCGAGTATATTTTAGAAACAACTAGAGAGAAAAGTATTTAGTCATAGGAGTGATGTTTAGTTCGGTAGGCTCGGGGAACGATGAAGAGCAAGTACAACTCAAACGTAGACTAACAAAACGTTTACTCAATGATCATGAGCAATGGTGGGCAGCGGGAGCAAAAGAGATGGGAAAAGTAGTGGCTGTAGGCGACTTTTCAGGCTTATCAAAATCCAGGTATTAAAAAATATATACAATGGTCTACTCTTAGCTTATACGATTAGACTGATGGACAGAACACTTTAGGGAACAGTTTAACTTAACTTCAGATACCTTTCAGTCATGCGCTACCTTCAAACAATATGAATGGGAAATCGGCACAAGTTCCCCAACTATTAGTGATGTTGAGGAAGCTACAGCTGATCAAAAGCAAGGAAAAGCAGCATTCCCTGACGAATTAACTGGTAGTTCAGCTTCAGCAGTTAGGCGGACTAAGATGTACCTAAAGTCTTTTGATCACTTTCAGTAACAATACCAACACATTTTGGATGCGTTACTCTCTTTCTAAATTCAAAATGTTGCTTTAAAACTAATCGACGTCAAGCCCTGACTTAATGATAGGGAGTAATGTAGTTGAGTGACGACCATTTCATTTGACTTGGAGGTCTCATCAGTCCTGGAAAATTTGTAAGTAATTAGATGATAGCATGTTGTAATGGGCTAAATGAGGGAATAGATCGGTATCTCTGTTCATGCAACACAATTTAGTAGATGAAGTCTGTCAGATCATGTAACGAATTGCCTTTAAATCAAAAAACAGAAGGGACTGGTAAGTCTAATGTAGATTATTTTGAAAAGATATCATTTACATAAACTCTAAAACGCATTTATTTAGTAAAATTTTATAGATACTATCCTTGAGTACCACTTTTGTGATTACCATCATGACTTCTTTTCTTTTCTATTCAAAAGGTTATTTTATTCAGGAATGTTAATATTTTAGTTTCTTTTTACAAAAGAATAATAGCCGATTACTGAACAATGAATTGCTTACTTGTTCAAGTAAATTCAAACATTTTTGTATATCAGAACGCCATAATTTATTCAATTCACTTGATGGTTTCCGTGACCAACGTTCACCATATTGTTTTCGTAAACTATTATCAGAATTCTCTTCATCATCTAGCGAACTTTTCTCCTAAATAATTGAAATAGAAAAATATTGATTTGATAGTAAATAAATTTGTATAGAAACAAGGAAATAGATTTACGCTAATTAGGAATAATAAAAGTTCATCTCGACTAAGTACATACATTCTTAAGTTATTATGAATCTGGGACACAATTGTCTAGGTTTTCAAACAGTGATGATAGAAAATCAACTCACTGAAATTAAAATTAATTCAATACAACTCAGTAACCACGTACAGGTTTTAAGTATTCGTCTTCAAATTTCTCTTAGGTGCGGAAGTTAGTGATACTGATTGGCTGACAAATTAGATTGGAGCAGGACTCAATTTTGTGCCCAATGTTTCGAAATAACGGTGCTCTAACTACAAAACTACTAATTTATCACCATTTTTTATAAGAAATAATCATACAATTATATAAGTGAGTATAAGTTAATAAATTACGATAAATGTCATATTATGCGCGGACTAAAGGTACTCTTGAATAAACCAACTCAAACGTGTGTTACATAATTATAAAAAATCAATTGTTCGAGCTATTGTGATTAAAGCATACTCTTGTGAGAGGAAAAACATAGACAGCCAGATAGTATAATCATTTTAAGCTTAAATAAATGTGTGACTAAAAACAGAATATACGAACCCAGATTCAATTTCAGAATTATAAATTTAAATAAATATTTATGACTCTAAATAAATTCAGTGTTTTTACAATTTCGATCAAATGTATTGAAAGCTTACAGCCTCAATAATTTCTTTATTACGTTGAACGCATTCAGGTATCGACATTAGTTGCTGATACAATTTTTCTGACCCACCATCTCGACGTATAGAAGTAGCTTTGGATAAAATATTATCCGTAATTGAGTTTGATCCCTTAGCAAGTAATGCTGCCGGGAAATTGTATGAAGCTAACACTCTGAAAATATCGAAAAATAACACCATTAGTAGCTTGTTACATAGAAAATGGTATAGAAGATATTAAAACATTTTCACGAAAAAAAACCGTAACTAAAATAAGGGATGGTTGAAGAAAAGAAGTTTTCTAAAAGCCAATTTCGTAGTGATGCAACAAAAAGATTTTCTTGATCAAGAACCATAGGAAAATCGCGGTAAGATCGTCGAAGTACACACTATAATGTTGATGAAACCGAAAAAGTGTAACTGCAATTTATAAACCAATTACCAAAACTCTTACAATTCACATAAAAGAAAGTCTGGCTTTAAAGTAATATTCCACTTTCCACTCAAAAGACAATGCCTACATTTAAGTATTCAGAGAAACACAACACGAATTGTTTAACGAAAGTAAAAAGCATAGTAGACAAATACGAATGTCAGTGGGACAAGCTGGAATAATACAAACGTAGAAGATAAAATGGTTCTGGGCAACAAGAAGCATCATCATAAGGAATGTATCACTATCGAAACCCTAGACAAGATTCAAGAAAGGAGGAACAAGAAGACGGTAATTAACAACAGTCGAACAGGAACAGAGAAAGTGAAGGTACAAGCTGAATAAACAGAAGAAAACAAGCAAGTGAAGAGGAGCAATACATCTGACAAGCAGAAGCACATGGAAGACATAGCGAAGACAGTGGATAAAGCTACAAAAGAAGGAAATATGAAACAATTATATGATAAAGAAGAACCTACAGGGAAATATAATAAACCAGAGAAACCGGTCAAGGACAAAGAAAGCAAGACGATCACAGAGATTCAAGAACAGAGGAACAGATAAGTGAAACAATTCAAGGAACTCTTAAATACACCAGCTTCATTGAATCCACCGGACATCGAAGCAGCACACGCAGACTGTCCTGTACATGTCACTAAACCGACAATCAAAGAAATCCACATGGCCATCAGACAAATCAAGAGTGGAAAAGCAGCTGGACCTGACAATATACCAGCTAAAGCACTAAAGTCACACATAGAAATAACTGCAAACAGGCTCCACGTTATCTTCAGGAAGATTTAGGGGAAAGAACAGATTAGAAGAAGGACACCGCCAAAATACCAAAGAAAGGAGATCTGAGCAAGTGTGAGAACCACAGAGGCATCACAGTACTGTCAGTACCAGGAAAGGTTTTCAACAGTGTTGTTAAACCGGATGAAAGACTCAGTAGACGTCCAACATCGAGATCAACAAACTGGATTCCGTAAGGACCGGTCGCGCACATACCAAATCGCGACACTACGGATCATCGTTGAAAAATCAATCCGTCGGCCAGATACCATCAGTAAGAGCCTACTGAGAGTGAGAACAAACCAGCTTCCAGCTGAGGAGGAAATTAGAAAAAGACGCTGGATGTCGGTAGGACATGCATGGCAGGAATCAAACTGCATCAAGAGGAAATCCCTAACTTGGAATCCTGGAGGGTAAGGGAAAAGAGGAAGGCCGAAAACACACTGCGCCCAAGGACTGGAAGCAGACATCAAGAGGATGAATAGCAACTGGAAAAGATTGCCCAGGACAGAGTTGAATGGAGAACGTTGGCGAGTGGTCCATGCTCGTTCACAAGGTGTAAAAGAAGTAAGCGAGTAAGTACACTAAAATACCAGTAGCAGATAAATGACGATGTTTACACATAAATCGATAAAATGACATATGTAAAAAATATGCAACTAAAGTGTAACAATGAGCAGTTATAATGAAGTTTGAAATCGCCAAAGATTCCATTAGAAAACAACGCGCAATACTAACTATTGTTTGAGACGGTTGGAAGAAAGCTAGGGGCGACCAAGACAAAACGTGACATCGGTTCGTGAAGTCACTAACTTTTAGTCTTAGCCATGTTGGTAGATGCAGACTACTTGGTTGGGGTCCGCGTGACTATCGTAGCCAATTGGTTGGAGACTCTGGGTGACATGGCTCAGAATCGATCAAAATGGTGTAGGTGTGTATACTATTTGTCTACCCTTAAACCGTGAGATTAGAATCGTTTCATATCTTTCTTTCTACATACTAGACCTATATCCAAATATGCAATCTTTCTTTTATATATTATTACCATTAAAATAACTACTTTTATGAATTCTGTGTTGATCTTGTGCTAATGAGGTGTGGAAACTTGGACTGATGCGTATATGTAACTGACTCTGTGTTGTAGCTGACTGACTGATCATTAGAACAAGCGACATCCTGAGATAGTCATTTATATTACGCTTCTGTGTTTGCGATGTTTGATGTGATCAAGACAAGGATAAATAAGGCGTTTATTTTACCAGTAGAGCGCGAGGGATAGATAATTGATTATTAAAGGGTAAAATTTGAAACAACCCTCTCCGTATTGCTGTGGACATAGATTACCAGCATTTGGTCACTCAACATCTTCAAAATGTTGCTCATGTGTTGTAGGATCATCAGGTAAATAATAATAGTTTTAAGCGTTGAGCACTAGAAAAAGTTAATGGGACTGTTAATCAATATCGATTGTGACAAATGGAACATACACCAAGCAGTTTCAACCACAACTCCTACATCGATGTTTTAAATTAAAAGTTTTGAACATAATCTTGATTTTGAAACAGTTTTGCATGGTTTCTATTTGCGCCTGAGTCTCTAATATTATAGTTTCTTCCACACTAAGTTTTTATTTGTCTGTTGACTGGAAATGATGACTTGAATGAATATATATTTATATGGGATGACCAGATCGAGACAGTCACTATATACACAAAATTGCTTGAAGTTTAAAAGCCACTCATAATTGGGTTTCAGATGTCTGGTTTTGGTATTAATTTTTTATTTTATTTCCGTGGTTACACGGGTTAAGTAAAAAAAATGCACTCACTCATTCACTTTAGTGGATGCTCCTCGTAGCGTGCAAATTTCGCTGTCGATAAGAGATGCACGAACACCTTTAGCAGTGTTAACAGCTTCTGTAACAGCGATAGGAAGTAGATTTTCGAAGTAATCTTTGGTATTCGATGAGGACAAAGGGAACGTGAGTGGGTTTTTTTTAATGACATCAACAATTTCGACAGGAGCAAGACTTCCTCTAGGAGGTACCTTTTCGTGATATATATGGTCATTGTCTTTTATTGCAACTGATTCTTCTTGTTTAAATTGTTCCACTAAATTCTTTCTCTGAAAACAACTACTTCGAGCAACACATTTGATTAGCTCATAAGCAAACTGTATTAAGAAAAGTAGGATAAGATGAGAGCGCAAAAACTTAAGGCATGAAAATTTAGGTGTCAATATAATAGAAAGTGTTGAAAAAAAAATGGAGTAATGCATTATAACTTTTTTTTCTAGATGTTTCTAATTGTTTCTGAAGCAGTAACATAGGTTTTGAAGTATATTGACAGTGTTAGGCTTTGCATCCTCATTTATATTAAGAGCCGAATAATAGCATTTACGAATACTTTTATAACAATATCAAAAGCCAATCCGTAATATTTGAATAAACAATGAGGAATTTTAGCAAAGTTAGAATATGACAATTACACAATGGGATAGCATGAAACATTCATCAAAATATAAACAAAGTATACATCCGAAAGTTTTCAAGAGTGAATTAATAAAAGAACTTATTCATTTATGTAGGAAGTGATTAAGATATAATATCACGTTTTAATTATTCTGAATATAATTTTTGAAAATAAATTCGTTGCTAGTATAGGGAATTTTTACAGTTTAAATTAAGAACTGACTTAATCACGAAGCTCTTATAAAATTCGAATTATTCTTGAACAAAAAGTGATTACAATAATTTGACACACTATTATCAGTTATATGCTTTCCAGCAGACAGAATATGCTATCTTATTAACAATCTCCGAGATGATTCACGTATATGGAGAAACCGGAACAGGAAGATTATGGTGGCGAAGCCATGGTTACTATAACATAGGAAAATTGCTGGTAGAATTTTCAACAAAATCAAACATTACTGAGAATACGAACCGATTCAAGTTAAACAACCATTGGAAACCTGAAAGTAATAGATGGTCATTTTGTTTTAGTATGGGGCTTTCCAGAAGTTAGGATACACGACTACAAAATTGGGAACCAAACCTGAGACCTTCGGTCTCGCGCACGAACACCTAACCTTTAGACCACTGAGTTGGGATTCAACGATGTACATGTTTAGCTAAAATCACTCCACGATACTGAGCGACCACCTTCCATTGTGCTTGGTAGTTAACCCTCACACCTGATACGGTTGAACCCCACTATGGCTTTTCACTTAAACTCCGGGCATTTTCTTTCGAAGCCCGTTATAAGTGGGAATATAATAATTATTAGTATGATGGAGCAATACTTTGGATTAATTGAAGTTAGACTTGCATACCACTGGATGCCCGCCCAGTGATCTAGAGGTTAGGGGTTCGCGCACGAGACCGAAGATTCGGGGCTCGATTCATGGAGGTGAGGTTGTGGGTGTACGCTAATACAAAGTCTCATGCCAGAACGAAACGGCTGTTCAATGTTCCCAGGTTCTGAACAGTGGTCTAACTTAGATTTCTTTTATGGTCTCAATAGTCTTCACAATCCTATACTAAAAATATTACCGTGAGCCTTCTTTACATACCAAAACGAAATGTTATCAGGGAAAATGACAAATGATGATTAGCATATGATGACATGTAATCAAGAATAGTCAAAGAATAGCTTTAAAACCATACTGCTCTTCTAAAGAAATCCTTCAACGATATGACGATATTTTCGTTGCACCAATTTATGATTTAATGGATGAAAAGCAAGCCTTTATTTCGTTGACCCGACACTTTAGACATAATATCCTAAAAACAGATCATTCATAAGAAATACTTTTTAAAGATACCAAAAAGTCAGTCACCTGAGAATGAGATGACGACCTCTTTATTTGTAGTCCCCACTTTTAATTATGCACTATTACGAACGTTCTATATCAATATGAATCAGGTTTTAGGAATTAGAAGAGAGTTCACAAAATATGGTAAATTCACATAGATCAGGTACAGTTATTGTCCTTATCTAATAGAAAAAAGTACTGCCTAAAAAGTTAAAGTGAACTAAGTTTAAAATTGCTGCTATCCTGATATGTTTGTAGACTAAAAGGATTTTCCTTAACTCTGGATTCAATAAAATAAGCTATCTCTCCTGCCCGCTAACTATATTGACAAGTTCAGGATTGTATAGAAGCTTTTCTTGGCAGAGACCCCGGGAGAATCGAATTACATACAAATTCACTCCATTAAGTTTGAGTAACTAAATGATCAGTAGTGACAGCGATTTTGCTACATCTTATATCACTACAATAAGGCGATTTGAGCAAGAAAGAAGTTAGCTTAAATGCACTGTAGCTTTTTCTAATTGTTTAATTGAAAAAGATAATTGAAACGTTGAAAAAAGCAATGCAGCTTACTGATATGCGAGCTACTTGTTCCCCGTACTGTTTGGCTTCGCAACAAGCTTTAGATTGATGATATTGTGTCAAAGCTTCATATAAACCTTTTTTCATGCTTAATACAGCAGACCAATCCTAAGATAAGAATGATAAGAAAATTACACTACTTTTGGAACAACATTTTTAGCTCCACTTGAACAATCTGACAGGCATTCTTCGTAAAGACTAGTCAAGGTTGATGCTATTCTTGCTAAAATGGCAGGCTTTTTCTTATCTAAGGGAGAAATATCATATTATGATACTGTCTCATTACCTTTTTCAGCTTTCGAGAGGACACATTCATATGCTTGAGCAAGCATAAGATTACTGAACAGTGTTAGTGCTGATGAAGTTAAATCTGGTAGAGGATCTTTAACCCCAGACATCAAGTCTGAAGATATGTAATCAAATGTGCAGGAAGCAATCTGTAAAGGAAATCAAAAAAAGAAGTGAAACATGGTGATGAAACGGAAGTTTTCGCAATTATCTCCATGTCATATTAACATGTAAAAAGATTTATCACGAAGTGCTCTTATCGTTAATGAGCATTGAATCCTGTTAATCGAATAATGCAGTGTGAGCAATAAGATAACATTCCGCTACACAATCCACTTGATGTTATGTAGTTGAAATAAGAAATTCCACTAGGAAGTGTCTGAAAACCTAAACAGATTAGGAATAACGTCTCAGGCTGATTATTTTATCTAGGTTTCAGTGTGCATAGAGACAATTAGAAGCAAAAGTGAATTTTATGGATGTTGTTTAAACTTTACCTCTTTCACATTTGCATTAAAATCCACAAATTATATGCAATCTGAGAACCCTTTTCAAAAATCAAGTGAAGTATTACAATTATTTCTTTATTTGACCACATAAATATTGGTACAAGGGGGCACCAAATACATATGCACCACACAATAACAATCAGTGTGAGGAGATACAGAATGTAAAGTGTGTATGATATAGAGAATATCAACAACAAACAGAAGTTAGTTTATGAGGGTGAAATAATAATAATAGTGGGAGAAACAGTTCAGTTAGTAAATATACAACCAGAAAGATTCCTTTCAGTTAAAGGAGTTACGCTCACTTTTATAAAGTAAAACAAGTTACCACAGGATCGCCACTGGTTTCTATTCTGAGCCATGTCTGATAGTGTCTCAAACCACTGTGCTGCACCATCTCTAGGACCCGAATTAGGAAGTCGTGAAGGACCAACAGAAGCCAGTCATTTACAGAATTCCTTCATACCTCAACACAATATCATACACTGACCACCTCACTGCTTTTTGCAACCAGTCCCAGCGTCGGTAAACAATGCACGACTTGGAATTCTCTGGGACGACATTCGTAGAACATGTCCAAGCCAACGAAGTCGGTGTTTCAAGATGGTGACACCAATTGCATTATCGTACCTGTTGTGACTTTATGTCCGGCTTTTTATCACGTGACCTATCCACCAATCAAAACACGACTTATACAATCTTGGCACTGTGCCAAACAAAAATGACGTTCGACCGGTATGAGCAGCCTAGCGTCCTTATTGGTCCTATGTCCGCCTAGCCCGTCCACTTGAGTCCAGAACACCAATACCAGCTCCCACTATGCGAATCGAATCGGGTCATTTATTTCAGACATACTGGCTTTATATATCAACCAAACAGACCTCAACGCACCATAAAATAGGAAATAACATTTGTACACAATAAAGCCAAAAAGTGGCTCTGAACGTAGGAGACAGTAGTCAATAAACTAAACATAGCTTCAGAACAGTAAATCGTACAATAAATTATAGGTCAAAATAAAGCTTATAATAAGAGGAATATAAATATACATAATCTAATTATTGGATAGTTATAAAATAAGAATGTATAGATAATATTGGTCATTTAATATGTCTCAGAAGTTACTTGTGATTTAATCTTCGCTCGGATATAACAGTATCTGTGCCGAACACAGGATGTCGAACCTCTGCATTACTAATATGGTGTTGCCACTTGATGTCAGCAATCCTTCGGAGACAGCGATGATCGAACACAGAGATTCGTCTAACATCCTCAACTCGGAGAGGCCAGGTTTCACAAGCATAGAGCAAAACTGCTCTCACCGACGCGTTGTAGATCCGACCTTTCACAGCCAGACTAACATCACGAAGGCGCCAAAGGTGGCCCAGATTGGCATAAGCCGCTCTGGCTTTCACTATACGTGGATTGATCTCATCACTCACGCCACCACCAGCACTAATGCAACTGCCCAGATACACGAACTTCTCGACTATTTCTATCTGCTCACTATGAAGGGAGAGTACAGGATCAGGGTTCTACCAGTCTTGTAAAAGTACTTTGCACTTCGAATGTGCGAACCACATACCGTATCTACGGACACTAATTGCCAATTGATTAAGTGCGGATTGCATGCCTTGGGTATTATCCCACAGTAACACAATATCATCCGCATACTCAAGGTCGAGAAGTCTTTCTCTAGGCAACAGATCCCCACTGCCATTACTTACATCCATCAGGGCTGTTTCCAGAATGTCGTCGATGGCAAAGTTGAAGAGGAATGGTGAGATTGGGTTTGTTTCAGTGAGCAGTTCGTTACCCATAACGTCGTCAGTTTGGCTGCCGAGTAGGCCACTTTCAAAGCGGAATTTATTCTGTGATTGATAATTCCGGTGACTTCATCTCCTTTGAAGCGCAAGTATAGGAAACAGGTTTTCTTTTCCACTGTAACATGCTTAATCGGAGGGTTGGTATTAGCATATTTGTGGATGAATTTCTCCGGATATGCACTTTCACGTAGGCAATTTCTTCTTCAAGGCAATACTTTGAGCAGATTTTGCGTGCGCAGTCAAAAAGGTTTCGTACAACACCCTTTTTATAACTCATAGGACAGAAGCTGATATAATTGAGATAAACTCCACTCCAGGTATTTTTACGATGGATGTGTCTTTGTAATGTACCATCTGGTTTTCGTCTAATTCCAATATCTAGGAACTGGAATTTATCATCAACTTTATGTTCCATAGTAAATTCTATATCTTTGTGTGCTTTATTGACCACTCTCCGTTTTGATGAAGCCATTGCGATCAAAAAACTTAAACCGGACTTATGCATTCAAAAAGATACTTTAATAAACTTATCATTACCCTGGTAACCCTTTTGTGTGTGTGTGTTTTGGTTATTTGGGTTATTTTATTCATTGATTTATTTTAAAATATTTATACTCCTCCCCTATTACCTAATTCTTAAACCAAAAAATTTTATTCACATATTTCCACCACCTGATCCTCTTAAATTATCATAACTTTTCAAATTCTATTTAATGATTATTACGTAACCTATCTTATCTTATGATCATTCAATTCCATTAATCGCTAAAATTATCACACAATTTACGAACTTCACTAAACTATTACACCACCCACCCTAAATTAATTCTTTTTTTTAACCTCTGACCTGTACTAGCATATATATATATATATATATATATATATATATATATATATATATATATATATAGTTATTATTGTAATCCAGTTATTTACAATCATTTATGTCAATTGTTTAACACTATCTCAATGTTAAAAATTCTATCACATTTTTGGTTGTAAGCAGCTGACGAGAAACCTCGAAATATTATGAATTCATACTATTCTGCATCAATGTTTGTTCTTGCTCTTGTAAAAGTACTTTGCACTTCGAATGTGCGAACCACATACCGTATCTACGGACACTAATTGCCAATTGGTTAAGTGCGGATTGCATGCCTTGGGTATTATCGGACAGTAACACAGTATCATCCGCATACTCAAGGTCGAGAAGTCTTTCTCCAGGCAACAGATCCAGATGATTCTTGGCCTATGATAAGTATGACGGTGTTCTAACATTTGGTGGAGGGTGAAGATATGATCGATACATCCTCGACCGGAACGAAAACCAGCCTGCTCCTCGCGAGTCAATCTTTCTCGGGTTTTGAACAATCTACGAAGTATGACTAAAGCCAATAGTTTGTACTCAGTTGGAAGTGTACTTATCCCTCGATAGTTGTTACAGAACCCTTATTAAAAATAAGGACAACTATCGACTAATTCCATGATGTTGAAGCACTCTCTATATGTCAGACCATTGTAACCAACTCAGACAGTTCCTTGACCAGAAAGTCACCACCATTTTTTAAAAGTACCGGAGGTAAGTCACATGGACACGGTGATTTTTCGAGCTTCAAGAGTTGGAGTTCCTTGTATTTCCAGTATTTACTGTCATTTCATTTGATTTGTTTGTGGGCTGTTGTACTTCCCGAGCACCCAGACCGAAGCAGGTGGTTTTCTTAAGGTGCCACACTCGAAGCCTTCGACCTACAGGTCTGATCCACAAGGCAGTGGATCAACATCAGGAGATGCAGTCCCATGGTAACCGGTCACCAACAATTGGCTCATGCACCATTCGTTCCCTTAGGATCCTGGAGCCCATGTGCACTATTAGTTTGGAATCAGAGTTTTCCAACTCCCCTAGGTGGAGTCTCCCTGTCCACCGACCCGGTTAAAGCGCCGAACATTCTCTTTTCGTCCTCTCAATTTCGTAAGCAACACCACTTCAAGAAGGCAGTAAGTAGGACTTCCCTGGCAGTGGCTGTATACGCGTGGCCATGTGAGAGCGTTTCGAGAGGGAGAGCTGACTCTCCCCACCCTTGGCCGTATCAGAGCATTACAAACTCTCCCTCCATCTGTAGATTCGAAACTGTTGTTCCATGTGCGATTATCTGAGGACTTTGTGAGGTCAGTGGCCAGTTTCGATACCCCATCTAGCACTAAACGCCAGAGTGGACGTAACAATAAGTAGTTAGATCCGTTATTACCAATCACTGATATGGTCTTTAACTGCAAGGATACACTAAAAGAAAACATGGGTGGAAAAAGAAATCGCTTAGTGATTTCCACCTACGCACCGACGGGTTACAGTTCGGATCCAATCAAGGACGAGTTCTACTAACAGCCAAATGATCTTTTTAATACATCGTATTAAAATGGACGTCTTGGTGCTAGTTGAAGATTTAATTAACAGGCCGGGAGTTTAGGCACAAAGGTGTTGTTTCGATAGCTAAATGGGATGCGATGGTTACTGTGACCGTCTTCTGTAGCAAGTAACAACCGCAACCATTACCGATGTGCTGTTGTGCACCCATCCACAGCACAAACCTTAACTCAGATTAACCACAATGAGGTCGACTACTCTTTTTGGAGTACCTATCTTAATTATAATCAGGTATGCTCTAAACTTATCTCACACTGCGGTGGTCAACAAATTTATGATCCCATACAAACTGATAAAAGCTAATTGGCCACACCGTAGAGTACAGATGAGCACTGGCTGCATTTGGATAGCGCCATGGAAATGGTAAGTAAAGCCACTTGATGTTTCGCAAAACGTCCCCCTTATAAAATATAGGTTCTTGAATGTTTCCTAAAATTTCTTGAATGTACAATGGTCTATTGTGTCGAATCAAGAATCCAAAGTAAAAGTAAGTCCCTAACTCAAGAGATTTCACAAAACTCGCGTGCGGACTAAGAAACCTGGTGTTTGTATAATCCTGACCAGCTGGAAGTAACAGCTACATCTGGAAAATTTCAGGGGCCGTTTCAAATTGTTCCAGTCAATGTCACCAAGTAGTTTGGTACCAACGAAACAGTCAGTTAATTTGGCGGTATTTCGGTCGAGAGTCTCTAAAGACGTCCTGGTTATCAAATAAGGCATTTTGGAAAACGGCTTACCTGGACAATGCCAAGGACCTGTGTCTGGACTCACTCAATGTAATGAACCGTAATAAAGTTGGAAAGTTCGTATCTTTAGTAATTGTGAGTCTAGTGGGTGAGGTGACAGATAAGATAAATCTGCCTACAGAGAAAGTCAGAGTAGTTTATACCAATCTGGGTCATCTTTGGCGCCAGCATAATGTAAGGTTGAGGAATGTCTGGTTTATAACCAATTAGTCAGGGTAGTTCTGATGACGTCCGGTAACGCTTTGGTTCGGTCATCAGCGCCTTTGAAAGATTGTTCGCATTAGGCGGCAACACCATGTTAATAAAGTATAAGTTCATCAGAATGCGTTCAGGAGTAATGACGGTAATTCCGTTGGTTTCACCACTTTAAAACGTCAACTTTAGTGGTCTGATCGTATTTTACGGAGATCATTCCAGCTGTTTTCATAATGCGCATTGTCTGCTAATTGCGGGACTGAGTGGAAAAGGCCGAGGTGGCCAGTTTATTAATGATATCTGCTAATCCAAAGCAACTAAAAATGTGGGGTCCCAGAGACCGTGCAATTCCGTGGCTAGACACGTTATCGTATATATATATATATATATATATATATATATATATATATATATATATATATATATATATATATATATATATATATAAGTTATACACTGCATCCATATTTAAAAAATTATATTGTTGATACCTTGAAAGATTTCAAAGCTTGTTGGAGTGAATTTTCACAATTGGGACGGCACGATTCACCAAGTTGACTGTGAGCAGCACCATAGCAAAACAAGACATTTGAACGTTCAAATTTAAGAGAGCTTTCTTCTATGAAAAAAAAAATTAACATCAAGTAAAAACTTACTTTTGTTAGATTTTCCAGAAATATCGCTCCACTTAAATCAACTCGTGAAGCAACATTCACATTTAGACGTCCTTCTAATTGATACATTGCATCATGATACCTACAAAAATAATTCCAGAAACTAAGTGAAATGGTTAACATCAGCGTTACTATAGGATAAATAGACGCAAACAAATTGAAGTTTATACGAATATTCGTCAATATTAGAACGAATAGTTCGACAAAAATTGGCGCCGAGTACAGAGAAGTCACTGTAGGTAAAAATTATATTTGAAATTATCTAAGCGATTGAAATTTAAATAATTCCAACGTTTCATCCAGCAAACTTGTCTGGACTTCTTCAGAGTAATAATCAAAATCATCAAAAAAATATATAGCGCTTTAACAATAAAATCAGATTAAATCTATACTGTGTTAACCCAATCATATCTGGATGTTGACTTTTGTAAATAGAATAACATGAGTCAGTTAAATGCGAATCATGTAAAAAGTTCACGATCTGAAAATAAATGACTGAACGAATTGTGTATGCGTATGTATGTGTAAGATTGAGATATTAATAGCTGATACTAGGTGTTAATATGTTTTTGTATGAAGGAAAAAAATAAAAGTGCAAGTTGAAGGTTGAAAAATTGTTACTGCATCATTGATGTGCATGTAACATGAGAATCATCAAATGCACATTTGTATTGTTAAAATAACCAACATTAATTTCAGTCAGAATAACAACGTATGTGAAATAAAGAGGTTGGATAAAGAATGGGTCCAAATACTTGTTAACGAATATTCGCGACGTAGTTGCTAGTTGAATACCATTCTCTCGGTTCAGGCTATTCATGTTCGCCCATATATACAGCGCTTCTGCTGTCAATTTTTATTTGTGAATGTTAAAACCTTTCTGAAGTATTTTGGTCCCTTCAAAATAATCGTATGTCCTGTTTCCAACGCAAGTAACATGATCACCAACATCTCAAGTTTCTTTAGGTCAACCGAGAATTTGGGAACATTTTTCAAACATTTTTGTGTACTTTTAACCTCACACTCAATTGCCCGGAAGTTTCTCCAACATAAGCTGCATTGCAATCATGAGAATTCATCTCGTTGACGACATTCTGTTCTTCTTCCTTTGAAAACCTATCCTTAACTTTCACTAATGTTGATCTTATGGCGTCACTAGCCCGAAAATACACTTTGATATTATGTTTGTTTAGAATCCTCTTGATTTTTTCAATGTTTCCCTACGGTAAAGGATGATCATGGTGGTCTTCTATCCTTTCAGTACACTCCAATTTACTTTTTCTTTCATTCCTAATAATCTTTAAAATCTCTTCGGGGTAATTGTTATCCCTAAACACAGGCAAAACTCTATTCAATTCAACCTGTTGGTCTTCCTTATCCGTAACGAGATTAACACTTCTGTTAATTAAATTTTTTACAACTGTGACTTCCGTACAAAACGCATGAGCCGAACCAAAATCTAAGTATCTTTCAGAATGTGTTGATTTCCTGAATACATTTTCAACTTATTATTATTATTTCTTCGTTCAATCAAACAATCGAAACGCTAGTTTTTGGTCACTGGATTTTATTTCCTTTGTTAAATTAGTGCTCTCCGTAATGGTGTTTATATTTTTAAACAAACCTTCCGAAACATTCCGTTTAATGATAATGAAAATGCCATCTACATACCGTAGCCAAGCTTTTGGTAAACATAAACATCTTGTGATTGCACTGGCTTCTAGAGAATGCATGAATAAATTCACTACAATCGGAAAAACAGCTTCTTTCTGTCTGTAAAGGTCTCCCCAAAATGTGAATAAGGTAGATCGTACACATAATTTCAAGCACTTAATAACTTCGGATGGATCTAATGGGCATCGTTAGTTCAAATCTGAGTCAGATTCTAGACAGTCATACATAACATCTAATGCTCCATAGGTAGGTACATTAATAAATAAGGAAAATACGTCAAAACACGGGGTTCATAGAAGTACTTAATTCAATGGTGGTAATATATATAAAAAGATTGCATATTTGGATATAGTACAGGAAGAAATAATTAGTTCGTAGAAATAAAGATATGAAACGATTCTAATCTCACGGTTTAACGGTAGACAAATATTGTATACACCTACACCATTGTGATCGATTCTGAGCCATGTCACCCAGTCTCCAACCAATTGGCTACGATAGTCACGCGGACCCCAACCAAGTAGTCTGCATCTACCAACATGGCTAAGACTAAAAGTTAGTGACTTCAGTGTCAGTCAGTTACAACGTAGAACTTCGTACGTACGTACATCAGTTCGAGTTGCCATACCACATTAGCACAGAAATGCAGTGGTCGATTCAAATCCCGTAGTGGTAGAGGTAATAAGAGTATAAGCAGTAATCGGAAAAATTAGCGTTTGGAGATGTTATTTGAAGAGTATAATACAGTGAAATAAATTTGGAAAGAGGAAAAAGGGACATGAAGGATTCAGAAGATTAGAATTCGGGAGAACACAGAGAGTGGATGCACCTGCGCCATTGCAAACGATTTTGAGCCATGTCATTCAGGGTCTCTAACCATCGGTTGCTATTATCTCGCGGTCCCCAACCAGGTAGTCTACACCTACCAACATGACTCAGTCTACTTGTCAGTGACTTCATGGATTTGTGCCATGTTTTGGTTTGGCCACCCCTAGCTTTCTTCCAACCTACTCCTATACCACTGAACATAGCACGTCGAGGCAGTCGGTCGTTGGGCATACGTAACACGTGTCCCAGCCATCTCAACTGATGAAGTTTCACTACGTCATCAATTGATTTGCCATCTTTACCTAGTACCCGTTTCCTAACAACTGTGTTACTTACTCGATGGTCCCACGATATACGAGCAATGTTTCGAAGACACCTATGATCAAATACTAGTAGCCTACGAATATCCTCTACTCTTACCGGCCATGTTTCACTGCCATAAAGTAGGACGGAACGAACTGCTGCGCAGTAAACACGTCCTTTGGTTGATAGACGGATATCTCGCCTACGCCATAAATGACGCAAGTTGGTAAAACCTAGTCGAGCCTTCTGTATCCGTGCTGAGATTTCGTCACACACTAAACCACAAGGGCTGATGAGACTTCCAAGATAAGTGAAGCGGTCGACACACTCAACTACTTCACTCCCTATCATTAGTTCGGGTGTCGATGTAACCCAATCCTGAAGCAACATTTTGCATTTCGAGGGAGAGAATCGCATCCCGAACATGCTTGCATTGTTGCTTAGAGTGGTCATAAGACTCTGCATTTTGTCAGCGTCTTCACCAAATAAAACTATGTCATCTGCATATTCTAAGTCAACAAGTGAACCTCCCGGTAGAAGTTCAACCCCTGTAAATTTAGATGAGGAGAGTGTTATCTCTAAAATTACGTCAATGACAAAGTTGAACAAGAATGGGGAGAGTAGACAGCCCTGACGAACACCACTTGACTTCACGAACCGATGTCACGTTTTGGTTTGGCTGCCCCTAGCTTTCTTCCAACCATCCCCAACACTAGTCTGCATTGACCCGACCGAAGCTGCTACCTTGACGCGGTGGTCGGGCTTGCCTATCGTGATGACCCAACCGAGCTATATTGGCTGGAACATATGTTCCTGTAGGTTCTACCATGCCAGGCAGGTCGATTGGAGAACGGTAAGACTAAAAGCAGCAACTCAAGGTCTGAGGGCGAAGTCGTACTGCTGACTGTAGAGGGTGTGACAGCAGTAAGGTGTTTCCCTCGGACAACCAGCATGACAGCGATGCTGCCTTCCCACAAGGAGGGGTGGGGTTAGAAAAGGTCGACCCTAAAAATGTCACACCTCACCTTACCTCACGGATTTCCGTCTCCGGCGGTAAGGCCCTTTGAAGAACGGAGCTAACACGTCAAAAACCTTCCACAAAAAGGCCGTGCGCGACCGGCCTCAAGCAGTTGTCCCTTGGGCTCTGCGGTCACGCTCCCAGGTCGTCAAGACCAACACTAATCCAATTTCCTTTTCAGGTTCCTCAAGAAATACCCTTCCACGGTGTGGGCAGCCGGGAAGTGACATCAGCCCTCATACCCGTAACAGCACACGAGACCAAGTTGGTCACATTCAAATCCTTCCTACACCTCCTAATACCTCTCTTATCTCCATGACTAACCCTCCTCACGTCTCTTTATCACCTCGCACCGCTAGGGCAAACGATTCGAGTACGTGGAACGCCATTCCTGGTCTCCTGAAACCACGCTCTAAACTACACGTAGGAGCTTTTAACGTACGAACACTGTGCCAAATAGGACAACAGGCTTCCTTAGCTAGGACTTTAGAATCTCGCGCCATCGATGTGTGCTGCGTCTCCGAAACGCGCATACAGGATCCGAGTAGCGTCATTCATTTGACCTCACCATGCCAAAATAAAGAACCGACTCGATTTACGCTTCGTGTATCTGGAAGCCCTGATTCTGCTTCCCGTGGCCTCGCCGGCGTAGGTATAGCATTGAGTCCTAGGGCAGAACTAGCTCTCTTAGAGTGGATCCCAGTAGACAGTCGTTTGTGCGCTGTCCGACTGAACGGAACAGTAAGAATCCGGAAAGATAGGGACACTCGTCGTCTCTGCCTATTCTCCCACTGACTGCAGCTCAGATGATGTAAAAGATGAGTTTTACAGAAAGCTCTCGGACCTTCTCCGAAAAGCTAGGCGCTCGGATGTAGTAATAGTGGCCGGTGACTTTAATGCTCAAGTAGGTAAACTAAGCGATAGGGAAAGACACCTAGGTGGATCTTATAGTGTCGTGGCTCAAAGAACAGATAATGGCGACCGTCTGTTGCAGCTATGCTCAGATAACCGCCTGTTCCTTGCAAATACTAACTTTAAGCATAAGGAAAAACATCTTTTAACATGGCGACCCCCTAATTCGTCCCAACGTTGGACCCAAATAGATCACATCGCTATCAGCCACCGATGGAGGGGCTCGATAGAAGACTGTCGCTCATTCTGGAGCACATGCCTAGATTCAGATCATGCTCTAGTGCGAGCGCGTATTTGCTTGCGTCTTACTGGACGTAGGAAAGACGCTGCAAGGAAACCTCTTAGGGCCCTACTTAATGATAGTCAAGCTAAGAGTATATTTCAGGAACAACTAGGAAAACAGTTAGGCAGCCATGTATGTGATGCCCACCCCGATGCAGCATGGAATGATATCCGAAAAGCTGTGGAAACAGCAGTGATATCTGCTAGTAAGGTAAACCGGAAGGTTAGGGAGCAACACTGGATCTCAGCAGCATCTATCTCACTGATAGATGCTCGGAAACTCATTCCACCTGGCTCTGAACATAATGAAGAGCGGAGTCAGCTTAAGCGCAAGCTGACAAGAAGTCTACGCAATGATCGCGAACAGTGGTGGGTAGCGAAAGCAAGAGAGATGGAAAAGGCAGCGGCAATAGGTAATAGCAGACAATTGTTCAGACTCGTTAAGGAAACCGGAATTAGGAACCGACCGTTAGCGAAACAATCTCAGAGAAAGATGGACATATTATTCATTCTCAATCCAGGAGATTGGATCGATGGGCAGAACACTTTAGGGATCAGTTCAACTGGCCTTCAGCCACACTTCGGTTTCCCACGATCTCCAGTCAACCTGAATGGCAAGTTAATGTAGGTCCTCCGTCTCTTTACGAAGTTGAAAAAGCCATAGGAAATCTGAAACGAGGGAGAGCAGCAGGCCCTGACAGGTTTACTCCTGAGATTTTTAAGGATGGTGGTCCAGTATTAGCAATGAGATTAACTGAGGTCTTAGGTAGAATTTGGGAACTGGACGTAATCCCATCTGACTGGTCTCAATCACTGATTGTGCCAGTCTATAAGAAAGGACAAAAGTCCTCTTGTGACAATCACAGAGGAATCAGTTTGACTAATATAGTGTCTAAAATATTAGCTTCAATAATACTTCGACGCCTAACTAAAGCTCGTGAAGAGCAGACTAGAGAAAACCAGGCTGGTTTTCGACCTGGACGTGGTTGTATAGATCAGATATTCACACTACGTCAGGTTCTAGAACACAGACACACATTCAGACGCCCCACAATGGTAGTATTTCTCGACCTTAAGGCGGCATTCGACTCTGTTGATCGTGAGGTTCTATGGCAGTGTTTGTCACTGAAAGGAGTACCAAAGAAGTACATTAACCTTATAAAGGCTCTCTACTCGAACACAACTGGTAGAGTGAGAGCTTATGGCGAACTGTCATCAGAATTGATTACCTCAAGTGGTGTTCGTCAGGGCTGTCCACTCTCCCCATTCTTGTTCAACTTTGTCTTGACGTACTTTTAGAGATAACACTCTCCTCATCTAAATTTACAGGGGTTGAACTTCTACCGGGAGGTTCACTTGTTGACTTAGAATATGCTGATGACATAGTTTTATTTGGTGAAGACGCTGACAAAATGCAGAGTCTTCTGACCACTCTAAGCAACAATGCAAGCATGTTCGGGATGCGATTCTCTCCCTCGAAATGCAAAATGTTGCTTCAGGATTGGGTTACATCGACACCCGAACTAGTGATAGGGAGTGAAGTAGTTGAGTGTGTCGACCGCTTCACTTATCTTGGAAGTCTCATCAGCCCTTGTGGTTTAGTGTGTGACGAAATCTCAGCACGGATACAGAAGGCTCGACTAGCTTTTGCCAACTTGCGTCATTTATGGCGTAGGCGAGATATCCGTCTATCAACCAAAGGACGTGTTTACTGCGCAGCAGTTCGTTCCGTCCTACTTTATGGCAGTGAAACATGGCCGGTAAGAGTAGAGGATATTCGTAGGTTACTAGTATTTGATCATAGGTGTCTTCGAAACATTGCTCGTATATCATGGGACCATCGAGTAAGTAACACAGTTGTTAGGAAACGGGTACTAGGTAAGGATGGCAAATCAATTGATGAAGTAGTGAAACTTCATCAGTTGAGATGGCTGGGACACGTGTTACGTATGCCCAACGACCGACTGCCTCGACGTGCTATGTTCAGTGGTATAGGAGTAGGTTGGAAGAAAGCTAGGGGCGGCCAAACCAAAACATGGCACAAGTCCATGAAGTCACTGACAAGTGACTGAGTCATGTTGGTAGGTGTAGACTACCTGGTTGGGGACCGCGAGATGATAGCAACCGATGGTTAGAGACCCTGAATGACATGGCTCAAAATCGTTTGCAATGGCGCAGGTGCATCCACTCTCTGTGTTCTCCCAAATTCTAATCTTCTGAATTCTTCATGTCCCTTTTTTCCTCTTTCCAAATTTATTTCACTGGATTATACTCTTTAAATAACATCTCCAAACCCTAATCTTCCCGATTACTGCTTATACTCTTATTACCTCTACCACTACGGGATTTGAATCGACAACTGCATCTCTGTGCTAATGTGGTGTGGCAACTCGAACTGATGTACGTACGTACGAAGTTCTACGTTGTAACTGACTGACTGACTGAGTCTGCATTGAGCATCGTGGTAGTCGGTGTACGTAACACGTAGCCCAAACATCTCAGTCGATGGAGATTGACAACCTCATCAAGTGATTCACTAATATTCCGTAACAGCCTGCGTCTAACCTCACTCCCAGCACATGGGATAAATATTTCTAAGGCATGTGTGTTCAAATACGAGTAGCTTACGAGTAACCCATCATTGATCACCTCGTCATACGGTTTAAGTATACTAGGTAAGTATTTCGCTAGATTGTATGTCCGTGAATTTATAAAATCAACCAATCAGTCGAAACACCCCAAACAACAAGATTTAATTACTAATTTCTGTTCCCTGTTCTTTTTACACAATTTATTCCCGCTATAATAATGTGGTAACATTGACAAATACACATTTGCGATGTGTACGAGTACGGATTTAGATCATATTTGGAAAATGTAATTCATCTACAACACATCACTACATGCCTTTTCCGAACGGTTTGCTGGACACAAAGCAGTGACAAAAATAGTTCTGCATGGTACATGTTGACCAGATTACTCTGATTAGCGAAAATGAACACATCTAGGTGACGAACACAACTAAATGATCAATTGGATTGTTTTTCGTTAGGTTTTTAAACACCTATAATGAACTTTATGAGGACAACTGTTACTATAGTATTTTGCTTCCTTTGAATAAGAGCAATCTATATAAGAACTTTCAACCCCAAGAATTACAAAAAAGCGTCTTACTAACGGGATCATGAACCTCAAGTTTTCGAATTCCTAACCAAATATCACCGGACAATAAGCAAAAGTTTAGGACTTCACATCTACCTACTGATTGTATCAGTCACACTACAAAGATGCCAAGTATTATAATGTAGCAAACATTAAATCTCCAAAGACCAGTAGTCAAATAGTTAAACTTTAAAAGGCATTACGAAATATCCATAGAAAACCGATAGGCAGTTGGGGGAGAAATATGCCGACCTCTGGAAGCTGGGATAGAAAATTAGTGCTTATATAACCAGACAATAGCGAACGGTATGATGGAGATCAAACACTAAAGACCGTTCAAAAGACCCATTTTATACGATAAAACAGTATGAATTAAAACTGTAATATCAAACAGAGTTATAAGTACCATTCAACTTACGCTGCGATTGCTTCGACTGTCGGGTTGTAGTTATCGCCTTTGACACATGCAACAGTTCGCATTGACGATAACTCACCGAGTGAACCAAGGCAAGCATTTGCGGTTGGAGCACCATATTGCAGGGCGATCAACTGTTGAAAATTACTGGATAAATCAACAGGAGCCGACTTCTTTAAAGGAATACTCAAGAAATTCATAACCCGCCCAGTTCGAAAGTCAGACGAATAGCCCGCAAACACAAGGTCAAATACATAAGACGTATTACAGAAATAGCAAGAAGAAATTCTACATGAGACTATATTTGTGACATCAAAATGGGTGTTTCCTTGCAATGCTCAGTTGAATTTTTATATTCCGTCCACAACCATTTGAACCATTTGAAAGTTATAAATTTTAAGTCATAGTTGCTTCGTTGATTCAAAATGGTTCAAATGGTTATGGACGAAATAGAAGAAGCTTTCGCTCAATGGGCTTCTGTGTCTAGTAGCAGGGGATCACCAAAATCTCCAGGCACGACCCTAGGTATGTTAACAAAAAAGGGGGAAAAGAACTTGGTAAATCATAGTATGATACTATCCTTTATCCTTAAGAATAGTTCAAGTTGCCTGTTAAAGGACTCCTGGGAAGTCGCTTGGACTAGCTCAGCGTTTGACAACTCTTAAGGGATAGAAGTTGTGTCTACAGTCCGTTCTGCAACGTTGTATTTCCAATTTCTGGGCGTTACCTCTTAGGTTAGTGTTGGAACTAAGCTTAAGTAGGTGTTTAAGAGGATGTCCAGAGTGTTAATGATACTGTAAGTCATTAAAAAGTCACTTCTAAGACGCCTGTATTCTGACAGATAAAGGTTCAGTAACTGGAGGCGTTGTTCATAAGATTCAAATTTGAGTCCTCGAACGGATTTCGTGGCTCGCCGTTGGATACGCTCCAGAGTGTCCTTATCCTTTTGGATTGACGGAGGAAATACTATGTTTCCGTACTCTAAATGGGAACGGACAAAACTATTGAAGATTATATGGAAAGTCCTTCCGTCAAACTAACCAAAAATGCGCTTCACTGTTGCCAGTGCAAGATTTGCTCGGGAGGCATTTTTGTCACAGTTAGCGTAATGCTTTAAATCGTGGGGCATCAGGACTCCTAAATCTTTTTCGACTCCATATACTACTAGAGAAGAGTTTCCTAAGTTGTAACTGTAGTCTGCGACATGTCTCGGATGAACTACTCTACACTTTGAAGTGTTATAGGTAAGTCCGTCATCAACTGCCCAACTTTGAAGTCGAGTCAGATCCGTCTGAAGTGCCTGTATGTCGTCTTGGTTGCGTATCTCTCTCCAAAGTTTCACGTCATCGGCAAAAAGTAATAAGTCTGACGTTACCTGTTGAGGAAGATCATTTCTGTAGATAAAGAAGAGAAAAGGTCCTAGTACTGAGCCCTGGGGAAACCCAATAGGACATTCCACAGCTTGAGATAAAGTGAAGTTGACCCTGACCTTAAAATGTCGATTTTTCAGGTATGAGGTGAGCCTGTAGGGCCAGTGAAATGTTACTGATCCCTAGCCAAATCATCCGGCAGTTGGATCACTGAATCTCGAACAGATCGTCGCTCCCTGCCAAGGTCACGTACAACCAACGCGCATTAGTTAATGGTATGCCATGGACTGGCCCATGCAGCAGTGGTCTTACTTTCGCTTGTATCTACTTTAACTAATATATTTCTGTAATAACGTCCTTTGTGTTGTACAGTCTTCAAAGCATCTATAGTACCTTGTTACGTCAATGGGGGTAGTCCACGTAAGGTGCTGACCACGAGGTGTGACTTCGACGTTAGTTGGTTCGTCACACCATTCACGTCTAACTCGAGTAGGCCTCCAATCATTTCGACATAGATCATCTACGTTGGTGATCTACAAGCCAATCAATTAGAGGTGGTCTGATAACCAATCGTTTGAGCTTATTGATAAGACATGTATGGTTAACCTTATCAAAAGCTTTTGAGAAATCTAAGTAGATGATATAAGCCTTCCCCTTGTGATCAAGGATGCCTGTCCGTCTGTCCACCGCAGTCAGCAGGTTGGTTGTACAAGAGTAACCCTTCCTGAAACCACGCTGTCGGGGTGAGAAAAGATTTGAGGACAGTAAATAGTCAAACAAACCATCGCATACCAGGGACTCCATGATTTTTGAAGGTATAGAGAGAAGAGCCACCGGTCGGTCACTTGGAGGTTCGCTGCGCCGACCTCCTTTGAAAATCCGTGTGATGTGAGCCAGTTTCCAATTTTCCGGTAGTTTGCCTCGGCTTAACAAGTGTGAGAACATCACGCTAAGTGGCGTTGCCAGGATTGAAGCTGCTTCCTTCAGTATAGCAGAATGGCCAGGAGAAATGTATTTTGTTAGGTGCTGCAGTTTCCGGAACACCAAGTAAGCACTCAGGTTCACTACGGAAAGTCCTGTGCAGTTGCAGACGAAGCTGTCATCAGTATAGTTGATGTGGGTCAGTTGTAGTGTCCGAGAGTATGGTTCAGCCAAAAGTTTAGCGGCGTCGCTGTCGTTGTTGGTCGGGCCATTAGGACCTAGCAGTTGGGAAACTCCAGTTCTGGCTTGACGAAGAGAGGCTGCATAACGGAATAAGCTTTTCGGATTAGAGACAAATTTATCAATAAGCTTTATCTGGTACTGCAGCTTATCCTCTCTTATAGCCTTCGTGCATAATTTCCTTTTATGTTTGTATTGCCTGTATGCGCCGTTGTTATCAGTTGGTTTGTATTCTGCCTAACAGTGCCTTTCGCGACTTAACAAATGAAGAGTGCGGTTCTTGATAATTGTATGTTGCTTGTATATTTTGGGGACCATTTAAAGAACGAAACTCTTTGTAGCACATATGAGCGTGTGCAGTAAGAAGTCCCATTGAGCATTCACATCTATTTGAGGGTGAACATACCAATACACCTGTTGTAGATGGTCCTGCAGAGCTGACACATTCAACCGTTTGAAATTCCAGCGCAAGTTTTGGTGGGGCATCATGGCTTAGTTTTGCTGACGAAACTGAAGGCTACAACGGCGTGATCGCTTTTTCCCAGGGGATCTAGGAATGAGAGGTTGCCAGCCGGGAATTCTTCGTTTGTAAATCCACAGTCTAAGCGCGATGGTGTCTGACTGTTTCTTCAATGAGTTGCCGACCTCACACTTTCGTATGATCACAAGTCATCGATGAGGTTGAAGAACGGAGCTTCAGTTTAGTTTTCACCTCCATTACACGTGTGTTCCGCGAAGTTGACTCTAGGGAGATTGAAGACCCCTATAATCAGGATATTAGTGAAACCGAGACGAGTAGAGCAGAATAGTCCTTCCAGCATACGACTGTCATATTCGATGTCAGCAGTTGGCTTCCTGTAAATGACTCCGACTAGACACCTCGAAGTACTAGACAATCTTACAGAGCACCATAAGGATTCCTCAAGATTGTCAAACTCGAAGTTATGAACTTGGTGTATCTCGAAGCAAGATCGTATGTAAACAGCTACTCCACCCCCACCTCCTGATTTTCTGTCGTCGCGAAACAAGGACATCCCAGGTACTAATGGCTCCTGGCCTGAGAACTGAGAAGATATCCAAGTTTCAGATATTCATATCAGTTAAGCATTATTAGAATTGCTGAGTTCACGGAACCCATCGGTTTTATTCGGCAAACTCGCGGCATTCATGTATAAGCAGTTTATGCTTTCGATTTGAAACGCGTGAGCTTCTCCTTCTTATTTGTCTGCATAAGCCTTATGCGAATGGACAGGTAGCCTACCTATAGAAGGTTTTCTAAGTTAGTAGTTCCTGTCCTTTCCATGTGTTTTTATGATCAATACAGTCCACAAGTGGAATGGTCAGCTCCAACTGGCCTTTGTGCATGATCCCGTCGTCATGTGGTCTATTCGGATAGGGTGAATTTATCCAACGCAACCATGTAAACTTAATATATCGCCCAGTGTAATAACGATCATCTGTGCGTTCAAGTAACCACAGATTTTGTCATTTCATAATGTGTTTTTAATTAAATAACTAGATTATGTTGTTATTTTTACGCTGTTTTTAATTTTTATTCGCCACGTCTGACTGCGTTACACTGTACGTTGATTGCACTCTGGAATGATATCTCAAGTCATAGTTAGTTTAATCACATAGTTTATTGTTTTCAGATAGATCGTCAGTGCATGATGTTACTGAAGAAGGGTTTGTTGTACTGTAGACTATGTTTTTATGAACAACTGCCTGTTGTCTTCAGTCTGAAAACAATATATATCGGTAACAGGATAGCTAAATGTCTGAGCTTTTATTTGCCTGCAGAAGAGCAGTCTACAGTCTTAGAAGATGAGTGTTCTGTGTCTCAATTAAATGCAGCTGGCTGTGGACAAATGTTAAGAATCTTTTTGACAACTGGGACTTTTAGTTTATCAGCCACTAACTCTGTTTGTATGTCTTCCTGTTAAACTAGACACAGATGCATGGGAATACTTAGATGAGAGCAAAATAATAAAAGTATCGCGATACGGTACTAAGTCCATGTTATGCTTTGCACAAATAATAGTAGCTGACCTGATCTAATATTCATGAACCCAAGGTAAATCACAACTGCATAAATCCTTTGCTAAAAACATGTAATTTGGTTATTTATCAATTCCACATTTCTGACTAAGTTCATCACTATTTTCTCATTTAGAATGCAACAGGAGTGAGCATTCACAGATGCTCAAAACTGTTTCACCCTTAGAATTACGGCCCTATGGAACTGTTTACGGGAGACCCAACTAACAGCAGATTATAAAAAGGATGCTGGACGTCCAGTTTAGTCTCACAAACACTTCCAGTATTTTTTGACTTCTTTTACTCTTTCGTTCGGAAAAAAACGACAAAAACTGCAGCTTAACATTACCAATACAACTTTTAAACGGAAACTTGGATCAAACCTTTGTTTGATATTCGATTTCTAATGAAAGTTCCTGAAATTTTTGAATCTAATGTTGTTTTGTTTTATCTACTTAATCGTTGCAAGAAACTTGTGATATACGAGCCTCTCAGCATCTAGTTCATATGTAGTAAATTTAAGTGATTTAGTACATATCTTCCTCATTTTCTTGAGAAACCTACAGACTCGGGTCCTCTCATAACTTATTCTAACCACCATGAATTGTCACTGCAGCTGATGGATGGACACGCGTTACACATCCTAACCGTGCCTGCGTTTAATCTTATAATTCCTTATTCAAATGCCGTATGATAGGCAAGCAATGCCCCTACCCTCACTAATGGAACACTAGTACCTCAAAGGCACCCTGTATGATGCCTTACATTGGTCTACACACTCGCTTAGCTCTTTAGTGAGAATACTACTACAGTTCTGCTACAAACCCCATGAACCCCAACATATCCATCAAAACAAATAAGTCTGTATTTGCTGCATATATAAATTTTATTTTTCTGAAGTAAGATACAACAGTTAGAATTAGAGTAAAATGGCAGTATACAGCAGATGCACGTGGTACATGTCTTCATCGATTAACTGAAAAAGAGAATACAGATATTAGCTTAACAGGCTTATTTAGAAATACTAGTGTCTACTTTGAACTTACTGCATGAGAGTTACATTGGAACTGTGAATTATATAGGAATCTAGTCAACCAGGGCGTACGAAGCACTCAAACTGGAAGACAGTTGTCCAAAAATAATTCGAATATGAAGGTGAAAATTTGCAGGTACTTTTCATCGTAAGGGTGAACATATTAGGTACCGGTTGACATCATACCGTAAAAAAACACAAATTTGCGAGTGGTGAAATATGATGTATAAAAAGTGTGCTTAATAACAGTTAATTATCTTTTTACTCTCTGATCATGACCCTTCTGCTTCCTTTTATGGCCAAAACAGCAAACATACACTGCACACTGATAGCAGATTTCCGGCTTTTCAATGTTAAGCGCGCTTTAACGCTCGATGTAATGAGTTTAACCCCTCCATTACTGCTATATGGCAAATTTTTCATAACAGACCCTCTGCAATAGATTGGTAGCATCTGTGACTTCATCTATGGTTATCGGAAGTCTGAGTCCTTTCGAAAACAATACTGATATCCCCTACTTCTGGGCACTCTGTATAAGTTTGGTTCGTTGCTGGGATAGTATTGTCCATAGTGCTGAGGAAAATTGAAAACCGGAGATTATTATTATTCACAAACATCTTATAGGTACATAAGTGTTGTGAAGAAACCATTTCGGGTTTCTTCAAAAAATGCAATAATACACAATAATACACACAAACAGTTTAATTGGCGTGTTTATGAACATAAAACAAGAACAAACGACTATGTATATATCGTCAAATTAGTAAAAAAAAATCATTAAGAAAAAACAACCTATTATTGTAGTAAGATGTGACACTAGAATAAATGTTTGTGCAGTCATAATTTGGAGTGATGCAATGAAAGTCTCAATTGAGTGAAAAGGATAATGAAATATCAATATGTATGAGACATATATGCATAGTGAATATAAAACGGGTCTGAGAAGTTAATTTAAGTGTAACACAAGTTATTGTCTTAATTACAAACTTCGTAATCTTAAGAATATTTATTTAGAGGGAGAGAAGATGGAAAAAAGTGAACACCTAGTGAAAAGTTTCATCCATGATAAGAATAATAATTGCGTAATGAATATCAACCTCAGAAGAAAACCAACAATTTAGAAAAATAAAATAAAAATCCTTCAATGCACTCAGATGAATACATTTAGATTTATGTAATAGTATACAGAGTGAAACCGGATATTAGTATAAATATTTGTGCAATAATAATTAAGAATGATGATTGTTTCCTTTCATTGTGCCGATAACATCATAAAGGACAGTTAGGAACAAACATGCGGACAGTTAGTCACAGGCGGCAGCAACAATTATTCTAGCTGAAAAAACGAGCTCCGGCTTTGGATATCTAGAAAACAAGTCAAAATCCAGAAAACAAAGCAAAATGAGGACAAATTTTGCTCCAACATTCAGAGTATTACACGAACTTCTGCATTTTAGCACACTTAAACATTAAATTCTGTAGCTATGCAAAAGAAATGGCCGATAAAAGCACAGAACGAAGAAAGCCGACCGCCATTGCTCACAAAGATGGCGAATGTAATAATTCCCGGCTCATTCTGATTGGTTGCTAAGCTGGAGGCCACATTTACGAAATTGAATTGCGTTTAATGGCAGCCATTCGGATGCATATGAACTCCAATTGGCAACCAACGTCCGTTGACATGAAATGCTTCCAGAATTGCAGTCGCCATGTGACAGAATAGGAACGTTACCTTCACTAGTCGGGATATAGAATCTTCGTCCTTCATGGCTGGTCTCATCACTTTTTGAACCAGTACGTTTTTGAGCTCTAAGGATAACTTGATGAATTTCCATTCCCTAGTATCACAGTTTGTGTGGTCAGTACATCTCTGTGCCGGTAGCGTTAATGAGTGTTTCACGAAGTAGTTTGGGATGATTTTGATACTTAGAGTTCTTGCCTCGAGTGAGCCGTGTGACCGTCAAACGCTCTATTCTGATAAGTTCGAACTTCTTCGCAGAGCATCCTATCATGTTTGTACTGCAAACTTGGGGGGGAGTTTAGGGTTGTCTTTATGGCCCATGATAATGAGAGAATCAGCACGAACTGCCATTGTTTTCCCAGGTTTTCAAGTACGGTCAGGTTGAGGACCTTGTTGTTTGGAAGTCGAGGAGCGTTTCCGATTCCTATGCTCTTTGCTGACCGATTGGACATTCTTGGGAGTAGACTGTGCTATCAAATCGCCAGCTGAGTTCACTGCAGTACTTGGTATGTTCAGCTTTTTAGACGGTGACGCCCTGTTATTTTAAATTCGGGTTCAATCACCTATATAGTTTGCATTCAGAGATCCTGTGCAGGGAGATCCAAATCTGATGAGGGAGCCTATTGCCGTTGGTGTTATGATGGTGCAGAGTTTCATCATGTCTTCACACGTGCTATTACATGCCCCATCGACAGAAACGCTGTCGAAATCCCCCTTCTTGCTTTCACTGCGCGTGTGTGTATGTACACCCGTTTTAAGACTGCCTATTTTCAGGTTTGCTCACAATTTATTCCGTAGAACTGTCAGGAGAATGATAATATTACCCAGCAAAACCTCAGCATTCGCTTTGCACGTGATGCATATACACCTACGATCCGACTTACTGAGTCTGATGTAAGCGGTTACTGTAAAATCTGTGCACGATCCGTGGAACTAACCTCTGCAACTGTCACACTTCAAGCCAGACGTAACAGAAAAAGGCAATCGGGTCTCTTGCACGGATTCTTCATGACTTTATTGACGTAAATTGTCATATAGATCGTAACACAAGTCCACGACCATAAAACGAAAAAATTCAGTACACTAAAAACGGACAAAAATGGATAAAATCGAAAGGTACGAAAGGTTAGGATAAACTGAAACCAACATTGGAGTGAGAAACTGAAAAAACCGAATAGTAAGCTGAGGCGAAACCACAGTTAGCTATTAAGATGTGAAAAATAAAAGTAATCTACTGAACGTAAACTTCAGAACAGACTCTTCAGATCAGAAATGGTGCTCTCGTTGCGTGAGGAAACAGCAAAAGTTTGAAAAATGCAAGTCAAATTAGGACTAAACTTCCCGATCAAAATGAGCGCGTGATAAATGGTGAATAATGATGAGAGGAAATTTCCGTCCGTCTTCGAAGTTGCATTGGGACGATACATCTTTTTACAGACGTTGATACCTTTTTCTGTAGAACACCCAACTAACTCAAGGTACGCTGTTAGATGGCCATGGCATTCTCGTGTGCATCTCATATTCTCCAGGATTTCCAAACGATTTAAAAATGTCACGTGTATTTCAAGTTTAATAGCGCCTTTACACGTGACACCTTTATAATCGATGTATATCAATCCAGTCAAATCAAAAGTCGGAAACAAAAAAGTTCGAAGATATGTTTGGAAGGCTAGCGATATGTCGAGAAGCGTTTGGCATAAGCTAGCTGACAGTTGCATGGAATGCATAGTATGGCATGACCACTCGTGATCTGGGATCGGTACCACATTTCGTTGGGTGGATTATATAGTTTTGTAGCAGGCCAAAATATAATTGCTCATGTGAGTCCATAGAAATAAAAGGCTGAAATTTTCAACTTCTGGGCATATTTTGACTTTAGCTGAACAGTAAAATGATCAAATGTTTAGTGAAATTCATTCCGCTGAAAAGTCACAGGAAACGTTAGTGATGGAACACGTGGTGTATGTTCACTTAAAAGATTCGTTCAGAGAATACTGAATAACAGTGTCTTTTATCTACTTATTTGGAAATTAAAAATATCTGTATTGTTTTACTTATCTAAATCATCGATACGAACAGTGTTTACAGTCTCCCGCCTCATCCAAGCATCATGTCAACTATAAGACCTTCCGATCATTTTGGTGATAATCCAGGTGATCAAGAAGATTCTGTGGACTTTGAATTTTTCGAAGAACACCGGTAGGTGATCGGAATGGTGAATGTTTTAGCTATAGGAACGAAATGTAGTATTAAAAAGATAATTTAATTATTACCATATGATATATATGTATGTGAGTATCATGCAACATGACGACTAAGGTAATTCCACTTTTCTACAAAACCCTTTTCACTGACATTGAGGTTCGTCGTCATATGCCCCAAATTTCTATTATTTTCCAAAATGTCTTTACATTAATGGAATAACATCACCAATTGGTAATATTATTCTAATCATGATGGAATTTCACCAGAAATACTGATTTGAAACATATCCATATATTTGAAAAATTTTTGTTTGAATTTCGGCGCATCTCATAGCTTTTTTGTCTAACGGATAACACCACTCAATTTTGCTCTCCAGCAGATTACAAAGTAATCATCTTGGAGTGTTTCCTCACTTTTATCGTCTAAGTTTTTCATCGAGTCTCCTTCGTTCCTCTTGAGCTCTCTGTTTGCCTTGGATTTTCATTTATGTGGGGACATAGCACTTCAAGCGGTAGATGTCAATAATTTTCACTATTTGAATGAGTTTATTATCAATAATTCATTATTTTCCATACTTGACATACTTTACTTGGGTATTGGTCTGTTAAACGTAGATCATTTTCGCAATGTCGACACAATAAGAGGCACTGCGTGTACGTCCTTTATGAACGTCCATAACAGCCAAATTCGTCCATTAGTTTTACTTATCTTACCAAACATTCCTAAATTATGATATCAACACTTTTTGTACTTCTTTTTACTTGTTTCTGCGACGATTTTACAAATTTGTGTACGAGTATGTAATGGGCCAGATCTAAGCAAAAGTTTGTACACTAATGTCAGTAATTACATAAAAAACGGGATTGGTTAACATATAAATGAAATTCAAACAGCAAATTATCACATAATGCTGAATTTGAAAACAAATGTCATCTGGTAGAATATTTCTTTAAGCACATTACAAATAAGTTCATCCTCTTGCCTATGCTTTTAAAAGCGCCTAGATGACGTTGAATTTTCAGATTTATATTTCAAGACCGTACTAATTCACGTTCAGCCAAGAATTTCTCAAAGTTTATGTGAGAATTAAATGTCCGAGACACTGTAGTCACTGTACGGCCAGGCTCTAGTCCTAACTAAACAGAAGACAGGCAAGAAAAATACAGTGTATTCAACGCACGATTGCGATATCAAAATTCATATAATAAACATGACAAGTGATATGTACAATGCAGTTGTTATGTACAAATGAACTATGCTAAACATCTATATAACTAAACATGTAATATCACAAATATAAGAGAGGACAAATTATTTTACCAGGGCTATACAAATTACTACATTTTCTGTCACTAAGTGTATTTTATTTTTGAATAAACACTGTGCTATGCAACAAAAAATACTTTAACAGAGCAAGAATAACATGGTTTGCAGAATAAAATCAATTCATCCCATTTCATGGTTTCTTACCAGCCGCATACAACCCAAAATTACAATTAATAATATCAATATAATTATTAACGAATATTTGGCATACTTTGGTTTGTGTAGTTTAGATAAATGTTCAAAACGTGACCCAAAATCATAATAATGAAAAGAACAGGGATACAAAGTATATGAGTTGACATACTTAGGATCGATGTGTATTTATGAGTCGGGGAGTAATAAGTTAGAGGTCACATAAAGTTAAGAAAATCAGTAAGTGATTGAGTAATTCCATGATGAAATAAACAAATATATGGAAAATCAAAGTATGTAAGAGATAAATATCAGATGATCAAATAGAAATAATTATAAGAGGTTGGGGATAAGGTTGAAAAAGATTAAAGTTAAAATAAAAAAAGTTTATTAGGTGAACCCATGACTACCAAGGGAAGAAAAGTCTAATCACACTATCCTTCTGTATACATAGGTCAGGTCTGAGACGTTTGATAGCAAATACTTCTGCCAAACGGAGTAAAATTCATGCTTTTTGTCTGTTAACCATTTTGAATACACTGCTCACATCTACTTCACGTCGACTACCCAAATAATGTCTTGCGCTTACACCTGTAAATATTCGCTCTCTTTCAGCCGTATGTTCCTAGGAATGTGTTCAGAAAACATTGTAAAGGTCCTGCTCTCTGTTATTCCCATGTACTTGTAATTTTTGGTTGTATGCAGCTGATGATAATCCGTTAAATAGAATGAATTCATTTTATTCTGCGAATCGTATTTTGCTTGCTTTCTTCAAATTTTTTAAGGGCTTTGGTTGAATTTTAACCAGGTAGTAATTGAGATGCTTGATGTTAAGAACAAACAAACGCATAATCCAGTGATCTTGATATATACTTTAGTTAGAGCTGCTTAATCTATTAATGCTGTGAATTTTATATATTCAACTGGCTGTTTATTAATTTATATCAACTACTGCTCAGTCTAGTTTGTTTACATTTGCCTGATAACCACGTAATTAAATCATGTATGACTGAATGTAATTTTAATAGTCTTTGAATCAGTAGTTAGATCACTGGTTGTGTCTATCACAATCTCAGTAATATAGAATCCGAAAAAAAATCAATTCACTTTTTGTATTGTAATGCAATACGCATAAGGAAAAATAGTTTTAATCGACACTAAATATTAGTACACAAAGTATTTACAAAATTGACAAAATAATGTATCGTGAGACACGCTATCTGTCTTTACTTCCTATTATTCGTTGTCTCAATAACCTCCGGTAAGTAATACAAAATCAGTCAAATCTACTTTAACATATGTTAAGTACAGCGGCATATGGAATTATTTACACGGTAGCAAAATAGTAACCCGAGTAAATTGTCATGTTGAATTTCATCGTAAAAATATTTTTCTATAAGTACTTTAACTGAGTAATTAGTTAGAGTTTAGCTGACATACTTATTTTCAAGAATGTCTGGTGAGAAGTTTCAAACGAAAATGAAAAGAAACTTCGTCATACGAATTTTTTTATTAAGATACAATTTTCGAATTCCTGCAAATTTTAGTGAAATTAAAGTGTTAACTATGGTATGATGGTAACGGGAATTTGTGTAACTATTCCTATAAGTATACAAATTGTTTGCATATGCAATTTAGTCGATCACGAACCCCTGTAATTAGTTGCAAATGTCCATTTGAAACTATGACCTTTACAAGCTTTACAACTTCAAACTTTTCAAGGCAACATTGTTTATACGGGAGAAAGACATTGAGGTCATTCATTTTAATAAAATAGGACCTGTTTGTTGTCACAGATCATAATTTATAGCACTTATGTCTGTGATAAGAATCGATTAGCAAAGTGATATTTTAATTCAATTGGTAGAAATCCTTATATTTACTGATTAAGGAACCATAAATGGGAAATATAGACATACTTGCAAATGAATTAATATCTGAATATCAGTCACAAGCTATCAACTTAGTATCAAATGCAGTTAAAAAGAATGCACTATATTTGAAAAGCTCAGTTAATGCAATGATAGAGTGGTTACAAGCAATAATACAATAAAATTAATAGAGAGTCTTAATTTTAATAATCTGAAATTAGTCATATTATTACACTTAGAATCTTCAAAGAAATACAACTTCAAATACAGAATCATAAGTGTGGTCTCAGCATATTCAACTAAGTATTTCCCTAAAACAAACTCATGAAAACCACTGATTTACTTAGCTATAAAACTAAAACTAATAGGATGTTCGTGTGGTTCTAGACCAAGTTATGTAGTAAAATTTCATTATTACAATGGAGCAGCAAATGAACCTTATTATTTATTCACTCTCGGTAATCACACACCGACAGAGAATGGCCTTAAATTTTGAGTCAGTGATGAGTTTGGAATCCATAGATGAGACATAAAAAGTGAAAACTGGGGAAGGTGTGAAATAAATCGAAATTATCACCTCTTAATCAATATTGCAATAGACAGATCCCATATCGTTTTGTTTTGAGTGTTGATATAGTGATTAGAATTCTTCGAATTATTGTACTGACAAGGAATTTCCAAAATAGTGCAGTTTGATGTAAGTAGAACTAGATGAGCACAAATGAAAGTATTCCATTTGAAATTCGTAATAAGCAGGCAGTCAAGTACAAAGGAGTCATTAGCTCGTACAAATGCCACAGTTAATAAAGAAATAAGCATGATGGTCAGATCTTAGTGTTGTTCAGACTTAGTTGATCTGAAAAACACTTACTTTTAAATCACCTACGTTAAACACACTTTTAATCATGTTTGGTTTTGTGTCTGATATTCTGTATACAAGCAAGTAAATTTACTAACAAAATAACTTGTTTTGTTCAACAGTTGTGTTGTTTCCAATATCTATAAATTCGGTGACTTGCGTTGTCATTAGGCGGCATCAATTTCAACTCTATTAGTTTATTTAACAATATTTGTGCATCCTCTATTATTGATCACAAAATTCCACAGTTTAACAGATTAACTGCCTGGTTTCTATGAAGATTAAAGATATAGGAATAAGTCGGAGTACTTATTATATTATCTCTATGAAGAAAGATCAGTCGTACTTGCATGCTGTAAAGTTATTTAATTTAAAAAGTAATACCCCACCATTTATTTTTAACTAATTCTAGGTTGGATATCCACTACTGAAATGGGAGGTGAAACACCATTACAGACATTGGATCATTAAATTCCGACCAATTATCTAAATGATACTGTTTTCTTTAAGAGGTTTAGAAATTCTGTTATTGACTTGATGTTACGATCGTAGATGGAAACTATTAAGAATATCTAAAATGATGAGTAATTAAATCTCACTTCTCTTCTGGTATTATGGATTCTTCTTTTGAATAATACCATCAGATTAACTAATTCTCTGTTGTATATAAGTAATAGAGGAAATTCTAACAATAAATAAAAATCCGTTAATCAAAACTTAAAAAGGGCCAACTTTACACGTAATAAAAATGTGATATATATATATATATATATATATATATATATATATATATATATATATATATATATATATATATATATATATATATATATATATAACATTTAATAAGATTTTAACAAATAATCAAAATAAGGTAATTATATTTCATATGGGTGTTAAACTTTATAATTTAAAATGTATAAGGGTTTCTTTTCTTTAATTTTTCATAAAACGAGATTGGTTATGTTTTATTCTGAGAGCTTCCTAAATACTCAGTTTTTTGTATATTTAAATAATCTTATTCTAGGTATTAGGATATTCTATTCTATTAATCATTTTATAGACAGTTTTTAGCCTCTTCACAACCCATGTTAAGTTTAACAAAAGACATGTACATGATTCAATACGTTTATGGAAACGAAAACTACCTAATAAAATTACATACATTTGTAAGGCCTTTGTGCTACCACTTATATAGTTATTTGAGGCAATATCCGGGATGATAATGTTGGTATATAATTTTAATTTTAAAAAATTTATCCAGTTACTTCAGAAATCATGATATTTATGTATATATTGTAGAGGGTTGTAAAGAAATTTAGTAAAGGAAATTCAATAATAATATGTTATAGATACCTGAACAAATCGGTGATTTCATTTTATAAATTTAGAATTCTTTTAAAAGGATTTTGAGTTTATCAGTTGGCTGAAACGGAAAATGCCCATTGAAGATGAAAAACGAATGGGTGGTTAGACGAAAAAGGTTTCCTTGCTGAACTAACTTTTGTTTATCAGTTTATTTTGATGATAGTAATTAATTCATTGAAAACTAAGTGATATCATCCATTTTGAAATAGACAGTTTTCTTCGAAAACTTCAGAAAAGCTTCTTTGTTTAATTAATATTTTGACAGCTAACAATTCTTACTCTTTCTACCATCTGTTTCGTAATTTTAATTTATATCGTTTTTTTTTTGTATGAACAAAGAGAGTCTATACCGGGATCACTGAAAAAGAATGACAACAATAACTCAAATTTATTTAAAGCAAACAATAAACTTTTGTAGTAGAAGAAAAACAGGAAGGTGATCTGTATAAACAGAATAAAGAGCTTGAATCAAGCGATGAAACATATCATAGCACTGAAGAGGAAGAAAAGAACAAGAAGGGGAAAGAAGATGGAAATAATTGGGTTAAAAGTCCAACATTTCACAAATCAGTTAACAATTCTGATAAAAGTAATAAAAATAAAGCTGTAGTGAAGAATATTGACAGTGACTCAGTGAATGATGATGACGAAGAAGAACAATCAATTTCATCTGGCGATATTTATAATATTCCTAGAAATGAAAATAGAAATGTAACATCTAGAAATTCTCCAATACGACAATCACCAAATAAAAATAATGAACGTAAAAAGCAAACCAGACCCTCATTTCGTATTGCTTCAAATTCTGATATTTTTAATATGAACAATGAATGTATTAATGTTGCACAAATTGCAGATGCTTTGAAAAGTTTTGACAAAAAAATACATCGTTTACATATTCGTCCACCATGGAAAGATCCAAATTCAAGACCACTTCCAAGTGATCGAACAACAGCATTTTATAACATGTACGAGGATTATTTAAAATATCGAAATCAGCGACCATTGTCAAGTTTAGGATATTCAACAACACAATGTTTGAATGACGAAATAGCTGTGCGCAGATTGTACCATTCAACACTGAATCGTTTGCGTCAAAATGAAAAATACAGCTGGAAAACTATGTAAGTTCGTCATGAACTAAATATGGTTTATTATTTCAATTAGAAGCTTATCAAGTCTTCTTAGGATGTTTGTAAACATATTGAGATACGGACACATGAAATAATGAATCGAAATTCTACTTTATACCTACTTGCTCTATATGTACTTAGGTCTTCAATATTATTTTCAGTGTTTTCCTAATTTCTGCTCTCTTTTCTATTAGTGTGAAGTTTGTAAATGACGAGACCATAATTTGAAAGTGAAACAACCATATTTAAGATGGCTAATCTTGGTTTTGATGTTAGATTTACTAATGCATATGGCTAAATAGCTTTTTAGGCCTAATATTTGATGTGAGTTCATGGTTAAAACCTTAGCTTTCAACTCTCGATCCCGATAGTGATTCCTTACGCACATTTATATCCTTTTTTAGATCGAAATAGGTAGGTGAATTTTCTCAGGGTCACTTTGTGGTCCCTCAAATGTCATGCAAATGTCGTCAAACCTTGAAACTTTATTCCCATTTTGATCTTGACAGATTAATAATCAATTCACACAAAGATATATTTAAAAATACATGACATAAAAAATGTGTAAGATTTAAGTACAAGAAGGTATTATAATCGTGCATTTGGGCAATTAAACTTGTTACGGTAAATCTACGAATTTGGTTATAAAGTTTACTCATTTAAAAGAGAGTTGTATTATTATTATTTTTTATCTGTAAACAAATAGATTTGAAATATATTGAAGATACGGAAAAATAAATTTCATTAAAAGCACGTTAAAAGGAATGGTACTATAGCAGTAGGAATTTGAGAAAACACAAAGAACATGTTTTTCACGACTTTTCATGACTCGCGTTCGCACGCAAGACCGAAGGCCCTGGGTTCAAATCCCGCGAGCGGGATCGTGAATGCACACTTCTGACGAGTCCCACAGTAGGACGAAATGACCGTCCAATGCTTCCAGGTTTTCAATGCTGGTCAACATCAATCAGTTCATGATCTCAATCAAAAACTTAATAATCTCCACAACTACATACTGATAATTACGACATGCTAACTTGTGACTAGCTTTGTGAGGGAATTCTCGGAGTTCTAGTGAGAAGCCATGACCAATGGTACGAAATATGTAAATATACATTTGTTTTAACAGCTTCTTCTATTTTTAATTATTATTTACTTTTTCTTTTCAATAATATTCAGGAATTAGCTAAGCGCTTACAAAAAATTCGACCTACAACTGGTATGACTAAAGAAGAACAATTACGAGATTATAAAAAGTATTTTATTACACCGAACTCATTGTATCCTTATTATAAATCTGAATTTATTTCTTATCGAAAAAATTCTCATATAAATCAAAACCTTATTAAAAATAAAAAACAAATTAATACTTTAAAACCAAATGAATTCACATCTAAATCTGTAAATAATAATTCATCATACAATAAATATCAAACGAGTAATAATAATGATAAAAATAATTTGAAGCGATCAAACAAAGATGTTCAAGGAAAAATAAAACTTGAAAATTCTTATAATTCTGAATTTAAACATGAATCACATGATTCACATTCTTCTACATTGAATCATCAAGTGAAATATTCAAAACAATTCAATAAATCAATTACTGTTAAACAACAATCTTCCAATAATCGTCCATCATCATCATCATCATCATCAACATCGTCAAGTTCATTTAATTCATCACCTGAATTATCAGTGAAATAATAAAAAATTATACTTTTGAAATGAATTAATTTTCAAATTTTATTTCAATTTATTTATTTATTTTTTGTTTTGGAAAAAAAATTGTATTTTTAAATACGGTGAATAAGATTTTAACTTTAAAAGTAAATATAAAATAACAAACATTTAAACAAATGAACTATTGAACAATTGAAATATCTTTTTATTTAAAATTTATTTGGGATATTTATCGAATGATAAGCGTGTTATAGAAATAATATTAATATATTGAATGAAAAATAAATTTTTGTTTATTTCAACCTTTTTTTGATTGATTAATTTTTCTAATTGATTTATCTTATATGCATTGATGATGTCACAGGTATTCAGTGTTTGACAACGCTTCTACCAGTAACACCTTCTAATGTATTTCGTTCCCACCCAGAGAAATCAAAAGACAGAGTCGAGGAGATCGGAAGAGTATATTTGGCGATGACCAATATATCGGAATTCTCTGATCTAATCTGGCTAGCGATTGCGGTTGATGTTGAGCACGGCGTTACCACACGTGATCTGGTGCGGATGCCTGACCGAGCGCCTTCAGCTAGATGAGTCCACTAAAACATATGGTCAGCATCCAATGTCGAAAACTTAGTGCTATATATTTTGGGGATTTATTTACCGCTACAGATCACTCCCCCCCTAGTGGGGCAGTGACGACCCTAAGACGTGGCCAGCCAGAAGTTTAAACCCAACGAGTTTGTCGTTGGTAAACACTCTTCTGATAGCTTACTAAGTGTAGCAGCGTCTGGTCGTCTTTTCTTACTATATGGGACCGAGGTACAACATAGTAAAAAAAGAAAGTTACAACGAAAATTTCGACTCCTCGTAAACTGCATCGTTCTTTTCCAGCCGTCCTGGAAAAGAAAAAAGAATATGTAAGTGCATGTCGAAATACACTCGTATGTGCGTAAAAACACAATGTCGGCGAAAAAATGGAAAATAAACTCATGAACACGTGATAGCGTTGAAAGATAATTGTTTTTTTTTGTTTTTTTTTAAATATTATATATTGTCAAAAGAAAAATCGAGATAATATAAAATGTCGAGTAGTGTCTTACGTGCAGTAGTCATTTAAATGTTCTGGAAATCTTACTCTTCTTCCAGAACGCGTCGTTTTAGGCTTATTTTCAGATACATTCGGAGTATCATCTCTAGTGTTCGTTGTCGGTTGAGGAATTATGAGTGTAGGAGTCGTGTTGTGCGATTGTACCAAAGGAAAGTCGACGTGAACAGGATTTCCTTCTAAATACGCTGCTTTTAAGCGATCAATACTGATGCTATCGTTTGTTCCGTTTTTATCGACTATATAGTACTTAGATTCACGTTGAAGAACTTTGAAGGGTCCTTCGTATGCTGATTCGAATGGTCGTCGATGCGAGTCTCGACGAACGAAAACGTGTGTACTATATCGTAGGCCAGGTTGAACGAAACATCAGTTGATTGAGGTCGAGTGGAAGCAGGTTTAACCGCTACAACATAGTACAAAATGAATCTGTCCCATGGAAATGATATTGATTATTTCTGAGAACTATAAATAATCAATAAAGATGGTTGTACGTTTGTTTGTTTTTTTTTCTTTTAAATTTACCTTCTATCAATCATTTCGTAGTTTTATATTTTTAATCAAGGATCAGTAACCAAGTATTTTGTAAATCATATATACATACTGCTTGAAATTTTTTACAAATGCGATTAACTTTGTTTTAGCTGTTTAAATATCATTTTATTAAAATAAATGTTATAATGTTTTTTTCGTTATTAATCTTTCTTTTTCATGGATTAATATCACTTTCAATACTATAGAAATCTAGAAAGTATTGAATATCTATCTGTTTTTGAATAGTTCATGTTCATTAATGAGAACAAATTTCATTTATTGTTTAATTTATCTAGTTGTGTTATTTTTTTCACTGAAGACTATAAATGTTGAATGATATATGTAACGAACAGTTTTAGTTTTATTTTAAACCCCAGGATTCTAGGAACTCTGCAATACTCACTGGGTGGTGATCAATGTCATGTGTGTCAAGTCCTTCTTAGTGCAGATCGAATGCTATTGGCCAATCGATCGATCAGTTGTGAATACATCTCAGTCCTACAGGAGGTCAGTCGCGGCCCGGATAACTCAGTGGTAACGTCTCTGACTATGAAGCTGGGTGACACGGGATTGAATCTGTCAGAGAGCACCGAAATTACAGGTACACATTGCTGACGTGTGCGAAGTAGCACGAAAACCGGGTCCAGGGTTTCCTGTTGATCAACTGCAACCACCATTTTATCTCAACATACTGGACGCAATGTCGAGTCACCCAGACTAGTGGCTACATTGCAACTTGGTCGATAGCATTCGATCTGCACTAAGAAGGACCTGATATACATAATATTGATCATCACCCAGTGATCAATCAATTGTGAATACTCACTGTCGTTCATCTCTTCCATGAGCCTAAGTACACTTGCAATCACAATCGTCAGGGCTCATGATGATATTTATTTCAAACCACTAAACTGAAACAACTAAATGGTATCCAGATTCCATAAGTCTTCTAGGTGATATCATTCTGAAATGGATACTATTTCTAGGTCAAACTAAACTTCACAAATCGCCTAATAGGAAATAAGTTCTAAAAATATCTTAATTACATTTATCCAAAAAAACTGCTGTATTATCATTTGTCTAGATAGGTCTAGATAGGCGTCAATTATTTACTCTGGTATCTACTTTAAAACAAAATCACATTTCATACACAAAATCTCATTATTAAGCTAAAGTAACGCTATTAGTATAGCGGTTTCTGTAATTCATAGATATCACTGTATAGCTAAAAAGATGTTGGAGAAACACAAGCAGTTAGGTTTCACTAGAGAACTGAAAGACAAAGATTTTAATAACTAACAAATTGCTCCTGAAAATCTTTTAAAAACTCTTAGCATTCTTTCGGAATTTTACATTTCTCTTATAAAACTGTCTAAATTTTGAGGGAGATTGTGATTTGTGCAGATTCAGTTTATTATGCGGTTCGGTACTAATCCTATCATCCTCGCATCTTTAAAAAGTTGATGTTTTTGTGCAAATTTAACTACATTGCAGTCTGATCCACAGATGTGGTTTCTATACATGTTGTTAATACATAATGAAGAGTGTCTAATTTAATCATTCTGCTATTAAGTCAAACATTTTGCATTGTCACATTTTATTTTATGATAGTTACCGAATTAATCTTATCAATTAATTTGTAATACAGAGTCGTTAGGCGGAGGTGGACTATCTCACCCCATATTTGGTTAACTTCACTGTGATCATCTACAGTACTTAGTTAACTACTAGTAAAGTGTACCATCATTATCAGGTTGAATGTTCCTGTGGTGATTCCGTATAATCTTAAACTTCCCATCATGATCTGACGCAGTTTAAAAAACATAACACAATGAGTGAGTCTGGTAATTTAGACGAGTGGATTTGATCTTAGTGATTAAAAATCGCTGTGCTCACTGTGATACTTGATAACCTAGATTCATTCCACCGTATAATCGCAAATATAGTTTATTGAGAAATTTTAATCTACAACAAAGCAGTTGTCTTGTTCTGGATATATTCTGATGGTTATCCAGTTGATGTCAGTTAGAGACAAAGATCTTTTTCAAATTAGTGTCTTATTATCGTTAGGGCAGTTTGCTGAAACCAATATGTTAGAAATCAAGAAATTATAAATTTAATAAATATTGAAGTGCTAATAAACTCAGGTGTCTAAAACTTCTAACAGATATGTCATTCATTCACATAGTATTGTGAGGAGTGATGCACTGAACATGGTGAAAGAAATCATGGAAATATTAAACAAGTTCTATCGGTTCACAAAGTTTTGATTATCTTTGTCCAAAGAGGTATGTATATTTTAATGTGTTATTCCCTTATATTAAAAATGGGTAGTTGAAAAGTATCTCAAATAATTTGTTTACTGTCTTACCTTTCATTAAGGAATTTAGACATGGTTATTTTGTATTCAATTTTACTTCGTTAATTTGTCTAATTTCTCGTCATTGCTTTCATCATTTGTACTCTCTTCTCAATATTACTCACTTTTAGATTCTGGATGATTATGCCAACTAGTCTTCAAAGTTTTGTGTCATTAAATTTATTTTTCGGTCACATAGTTTGACCACATCAAGGAGTTAAATTACAAATCTCTATTAATGTGACAATAAGGTCAATAAAACAAATAAAATTATAATAGTAGGTCAATGTAAGTCTTTGAAGTGGAATACGATAAACTATCAAAGCTGTCATCATATAAATAATTAATTACAAAAATATAAACAAAAAGTATGATGATATTCTCAGAAAGAAAAGAATAAAACAGACTAATATTATTTTTAGTTGTAGATTTCAAAATTACCTGAAACCATATAAAGAATTTGAAGTTTACAAACCAACAAAATTTCACGACTATTAATCGTGAAATTATTTGTTCAGTTTCGCAATTTTCCACTAAACAAATCAGGTTGACCAGAAGAATTTTTTAAAAATTCGAACTAAGAAAAAAGTTCAACAATTATCATACATTTCAATAGTTGAGATCATGAGCCAATTGAAGCTAGACCACCATGGAAAACGTGGAAGCACTGAACGGCCGTTTCGTCCAGTTGTGGAACTGCCCCCAAATGCCCTAGTATGGCTGAGAGTGAGGTGGGCCCGCCCTCCCTATCGAAATGCTCTGACGAGTACACAGCCCCTTCCAGGGAAGTTCTACTCACTGCCTTCTCGTGGCGGTGAGTTGTCTACGAAAACAAGAGGATGAAATGTGAATGTCCGGCGCTTTAACCGGATCCCAAACCAATGGTGCACATGGGCTCCAGTATCCTGAGGGAACAAATGCTGTATGAACCAATCGTTGGTCACCGGCTTCCATGGGACTGAATCTCCTCACGATGCTCCACTGCTTTGTGGATCAGACCTTCAGGTCGAAGGCATGAGGTGTGGCCCCCTAAGAAAACCACCTGCTTCGATCT